GACCTTCTGAATAGCATCTACCCCCAGACCACCCCATCCCTGCATTCCCCATAGCCAACACACCCAACCTACACATCCCTGAACACTGTGGACAATTTAGCATGGCCAATCCACCTAAACTGCACACATTTGGACTGTGGGAGGAAACCGACGCAGACTCGGGGAGAATGCGCAAACTCCACACAGGCAGTCACCTGGCGCTGTGAGGCAGCAGTGCTGACCACTGTGCCACCTTTTGCATGTTCTTCCTGTGTCTGCGTGGGTTTCCACTCAGTGCTCCCGCTTCCTTCCATATTCCAAAGATGTGCAGGTTAGGTGGGTTAGCCATGGGAAATGCAGGGTTACAGGAATGGGGTGGATCTGGGTGAGATGCTATTCAGAGGGGTTGGTGTGGACTCGATGGGCTGGGCCGAATGGCCTGCTTCCACACTAAGGCTTCTATGATTATTAGCTATATCTAGCTCCTTCTTGAAAGTATTCAATGTTTTGACCTCAACCACTTCCTGTGGCAGAGAATTCCACAGATCCTCCAATCTCTGGGTGAGGACATTTCTCCTTATCTCAGTCCTAAATGGCCTACCCATATCCTTAGACTATGACCCCCTGGTTCTGGACTCCCCCAGTCATTGGGAACACCCTTTCTGCATTTACCCTGTCTAGTCCTGTTAGAATTTTATAGGTTCCTATGGGAACCCCCATAATTATAAACGACAGTGAATATAGTCCGCATGGACCCAGTAATTCTCTCATTGAGAATAAGCAAATTGTATCAATGCATTCCACTAAAATACTTAATTCTTCTATGGCTATTTTAAAAGAGTGGAAAATTGCTGTTTTTTAGGCTTGTAATGCGCTCACCATTTCAATACAATGAAACTCCAGTGGCCAGCTTCCTCTGGGATGGCGGGAGTAGGGGTGGCTCTGTTCTTCAGAGCAAATGTCGATGGTGACCCCACTTTGACATGGCCAGCTTCCTCTGCTTTAAAGTTTCAGCAGACGTGCCTTTAACTGTTATTCAGTGAGACCCCTCTCCCTTTAATTCCTGCCTCATAAAGCTGCCAGCCAGGTCAGAAGGACTGGTAGTGCCATCAGGAGCTGCATCCAACACTGCCAGAGCTGCAAGGGGGAGTAAGCAGAGCTGGTGTGGAATCTGGGTAAGTCTTTCCAGGCTGGAAGGCCCAGTCGAGGTCTTGGGGGTGATGCTGGAAAGGGGGTAGGGGCATAAGGGGAGGGATAACTCCAGGAGGGAGCCTTCACTTCACCTGATGCCAAGGGCTTGGAAATGAGGCAAGTCCACCGCCTTCCCTCCATGGTCACTTCCCTGCTGGGTTAAACCTGCCACATGGTGGGTATACACCTGCCCACCCTCCATTATACCTGAGCAGCAGGGAAGGTGGGGCCCTTAAGGAAGCATCAATTGCCCACTCGAGGGCTGCACTTGGGCCGGGAGTGGGTAACCTACCTTATGTTTCCCTTATCACTTCTAAAATTCTGCTGGGAGTGGGTATTCAGCCGTTGGCCCAGTTCCCCTCTGTTGGGGGTTCAAACACTTGCTGTTCTGCCTGCCACAGGGAGTCCATTGTGTTTGTGTTACACTCTCTGACCAGTAATTCACTACATACCTGCATCTCCTCCACAAGGTAGAACAGATTTGATTGATTGGTAGGAAGGTACACAGGAATGCAGCAACATGCTGGAACACATGCTGCCGTAGAATTCATCCTGTAAAAGTGAGAGCAGGAAACGTAAGCCATTTAAATCCCAAATGACTCGTGTGTTAAAAAGAATGAACATAAACAGTAAACCTGCCAGATAGCTCATTCCTTGAGTTCTTGCATAGGCAGTTCCCTAATGCAGACTAACTAACCAAAATTAATTGTACGTAATTGATACATTTTAGCGTTCCCCCTTTAATCTGGCCTCAATTGCTACTTCCCTGGCTCTTATTCTAGTGCAATTTTGTCACTTCCAATCCTTTTGTGTCACTTGTTTTTCCCTATGTTAATTCGAGATTGTATCACCTGCTAAATTAATTTAATTTCCCTTCCCCCTTCCAAGTGCATTAGGACACACCCAACCCTAACTGCAAGGACCGTGGTCCCTCCTTTCCTGTGAAGTAAAGCTGTCCAGCTTGCATCGGTCTCACCTGCCCCAGAGCCAGTGTCCAAGGAGTCTGAAGCCCTTCCTTCTGTACTATCTCCACAGATACGCATTCATCCGCAATATCCTCATATTTCTATGTGTGGCGCAGAATGTATTCTGGAGTTCACTACCTTTTGAGGCCCAGTTTGCTGTTTGCCCTCCCGGTTCTCCCAAATCTCCCTGCGGAATTTCATCTTCTTTCTGCCTGTGTCACTGGTGTGAATAAGGGGCCCCACAGAACGCTCGCTGTCCTGTTTTAGAGAGCCCTGCAGCTGCCCTGGCACAAGGAGGTGTCCTACCCTAGACTCCTGCCATGGCTGCAGAAATACCTGTTTGTTCCACTAAACATACCTTACACACACCATCCCACACACCACCATCACCATCCCCTGCGTATGTCCTGTCTAAGCGACAAGATAATCCCAGCAGAGGGGTTGCATGATGGTTTAGTCAGGAAGGACTTGTTAACATTGACTGCGGACCTGGTGAAGTCTCATGGCATTGGGTCAAATGTGGGCAAAGAAACTTCCCACCGACTATCACGTACTGTTGTTTATATTAACTCGTGGGGCGTGGGTGTTTGTTGGCGAGTAACTCATCTCCTGACTCCCCGGAGTCAAGGCACAAGTCAGGAGTGTGATGGAATACTCCCCACTTGCCCTGGATGAGTGCAGCTCCAACAACACTCAAGACGCTTGACACCATCCAGGACAAAGCAGCCGCTTGATTGGCACCACATTCACAAACATCCACCCTCTCCACTACCAATGCTAAATAGCAACAGTGCGTACCATTGACAACATTTACTACTGAAATTTGCTAAAGCTCCTCAGACAGCACCTTCCAAACCCACAACCACTTCCATCTAGAAGGACAAGGGCAGCAGATACATGGGAACACCACCCCCTGCAGGTTCCCCTCTGAGCCACTCACCATCCTGACTTGGAAATATATCTACGTTCCTTCACTGTCGCTGGGTCAAAATGCTGGCATTCCAGCCCTGAGGGCTTGTGGGTCAACCTATAACACATGGACTGCTGCAATTCAAGGAGATCACCATCTTCTCAAGGGGATGGGCAATAAATGTTGGCCAGGGCAAATGGCACCCAGATCCTGTGAACAAATAAAAATAACCGTGTTTCCTGTCACTGCCACATTCTTCATATTCCTCCTGCCCCACTTCAGAGCTGAGTCCTATGTTGTGTCTTGACCTTGGCCTTGGCTGTAATTTCCATGGAAACATCACTGTTTGCTGTTTTGAAAGCCTGAATACTGGCTGCTGAGCAAGATACACTCTGGGATTTTCCCACCACCTGCCTAGCCTTCTATGATTATCTAACAGTACCAGTCCCCTTCCTGCCTGCACAACCTGAAGCTGTGGGGTGACCACATATGGGAACTTGCTCTCCATGATCCTCTCCAAGCTCCCAATCCCAGCCTTAAATTGCTCCAGATGAATGCACAATCAGTACACGAGTTCTCCACGATACGTGCTGTGCCCTAGAGTTCCCACATAACATGGGCTATACGTTCCACGCACTGCAGTGCCCTACCATGTCTTGATTTATTTGGCTAGTAACTAACATAACGGAAATAGCTGTAAGAGTTAAGCAAATAAAGACTTACTGGGTATTAACCAATCAGCTGTTTCCCTTTAGTTGACACCAAGTTATTTTCAAAGGAGGTTAAAATCCTATTGTCTACATTTGTTCTGAACAAAATGGGAAGAGTGTACTGTCATTTCAGTCCCACCACACCACAGTTTGCAACACTATTCCCAATTCTCGATATGGCCAATCACATGATTTCTCTATAATTGACCTAAAATGAAAATATTCATCGACCACATTGCTTTAACAAACACAGAATTATTAATTTCCTAACACATTCAATGAAAATGCAGAATTGAGTAGCACGCATAATGTTTGTTCCTCTCAATATCACTCACTCGCTCTCTCTCACTCTCACTCTCATTCTCTCTCTCTCTCTCTCTCTCTCTCTCACACACACGTACACACACACACACTCTCTCTTGGTTGTCTTCAGGCTTGCTAAGGAAGTACAATATTGAGAAGTTCTTTCAGTCGCTCTTCCAGGAGAACAGTCCAATTTCACTATGACCTCACGGCAAGAATGTTTCCAAAAAAACGACAGCATTAGCTGAGCTGCTTGTTCTACAGCAGGCTTCCCTCAACTGAAAACCCAAACCCAAACTTCACATCTGCAAAACACAAAGAGCAAAGTCGGTCAAGTAAGTTTAAACAACTAAGATCAAAAATTATCGGGAGCAAAAGGGATTTCAAGAAATGCCTTTATTACAAAAGAAATTCCAATGTCTTTTCATTGACACTTTAAAAAATAACAATCCAGACACATAGACAAGCCTTTTGACTTAAGTCCAGAATTATTATTAGTTATGGAACATTTTTATAATCCATGTCAGATATAAATGTACGTATTTACATTTACATATCCTTAATGTTACTATCCCTTGTTATGTAACTGAAACTTTATTCCAAGATTAATGAACGAATTGTCTTTAGTTATTATTCTAATTAATTGTTCTGGTCCTGGTTTCCAGTTGATTTCAGTCAAAAGTTTAACCAGTTTACTAACGCCTTGTTCCTTCTTGTGCTGTGAGTTTACTGTCATTCTGGTGTGAGAGGATATCAGAGAAGTGTGGAGCTCACTCAGTCTGGAGAAGGTGGCTGTAACCTCACAGTTCATTCTGCCTCATGATAAGCTTAGACAAGTATTCAGTCAAGCAGAAATGTTTGCAACAAGAATCGATAAAAGAATTCATAAATTGCTATATGTGTTCCGCCTGTAATTGTTCTCTTTTCAATTTATATTTTCAGCCATTTCTTGCCGGTATAATGGGCTCTCGGTTGCCTACCTTATCTTCCTGCTCCTGGTGCCACTGTTCTCCGAGCCCACGGCCATCACTATGCAAGGTAGGAGTCCCACATTGATTACCTTTTTCTAACAGAGAGAAATGACCTTGCATAAAAAGGTTGGCACATGACTGCGTCATTATAACCAGGGCCAGGGTGATCTTCCAGACCAGTTTGCATTATCCATGTGGTCAAAGGGGAACTTTCAATACATCTTCTTCTTTAATTTACTTTGGCCTTTTAGTATACCTCAAAAACCCTCCTATCTCTCTGCCAAAGCTGCCTCACAAAAGCTGAGAAACAGCACAAATACCCCCTGAGACATTCAATCCCACTGTTTTTGGTTTGTTACTTTACATTGAATGACCAGAGTCCAAAACGATAGCTTAATAGCTCCATGTGTCAAATTAATAATGCTGTGTATTGGGAACGATTTATAAACTTGTTGATGTATTGAATCAAATGCTTTTTATTGTTGAAACAACCCAGTTATTAAAGACATTTTATTTATTGTGGTATTATTCATGTCATTAGACTTGACCTGTTATAGGTTTATTCAACTGCTTCATGAATTATACACGTATTCCTAAATACGTGATTATTAAAAATACATTCACAGAATGTGAGCATCACTGACATGGCCAGCATTTCTTCTCATTCCTAACTTTCCCCATGTGACACTGGGATGGGCACAGAGTAGATGTAAAGTTGGAACCAAAGTCCTATCAGAAAGAGAAGGAATACTAGAACAGTCCAGTAGGCTGAGAAGATATAGACAGGATAAGACAGATGGGAGGTACAGAAAGCTAAATTGTATCTATTTTAATGCAAGGAGTCTGACTGATAAGGCGGAAGAACTTAGAGCATTGATCAGCACATGAGAAAATGATATTGTTGCGATCACTCCCACATGGCTGAAGGAAGGACAGGACTGGCAGCTCAGCATTCCACTGTATAGATGTTTCTGTGCAATAGTGGGGAGATGTAGGAGAGGTGGGGAATTGCACTGTTAATAAAGAAAACCATCGCTGCAGTAATGAGGGAGGATGTCTTAGAAGGCTCTTCAAATGAGGCCATCTGAATTGACCTTAGAAATAAAAAAGGGGCTGGGATTATATTACAGGCCTCCCAACATTCAGAAGGAGCTAGAGAAGCAGATGTGTAGGTAAATCACAGAAGGATCTGAGTGGAATAGGGTTATACTTGTAGAGATTTCAACTTTGCTAACATTAACTGGGATTGACTTAGTGTGAAAGTATTAGATGCAAAAGAAAATCCTTTGTGGGAGCTTGTGTTTAATTTATCTACATTTCCTACAATACAAACAGTGACTGCAATTCACTTTACCACATTGTCATTAGATGCTATAAGGCATTCTGTGGTTGTGAAGGGTGTTAGATAAATACAAGTCCATACCATCTTGCTGTGTCAGTAGACAGACATCATAGTCCTATTCATTCTGTTTCAGGACACACAGGACGTCTACTCAAAGCCTTGACTTCCATCAGCTTCATCTTTCTGCTGTTGCATCTGGGATCTCAAGTGATGTTCCATTACATTCCAAATAATGGTAAGAGATCATTGTCAGCCAGGTATTATTGCCAACACAGTCAACTCGTAGATAGGAGTTACAAGACAGAAAGATGCATCAATGTTTACCCTTTTTATATGAGCAAACTGTTCATTCACATGTATGCACTTTCTTTCCACATCCACATATCCTTCATCGATTTATCTAATTTTATATGTCGACAGAGTCTCTGTTTCAGTCACTATCCTCAGAACTCCACCCACTCTCCTGTTGCTCTCTATTTGTAATATCTTACTTTTATTTTTGGTATCTATGGTCCTCCTTTTAGACTGCCAAACTATTGGAAACGCACTAGGGTGAACTTTACCAGACACTGGTCAAGTGCCACTTTCACAGATCTTTGTGGATTTTGCTTTCTCTCAGTGAGGCTTAGTGAGTTTTCTCACTTGACTGTCCCAAGCTTGCTTTATTAACTAGATATTGCACCCCTCTGGCACTCCATGTGTTCAATACTCACCCGATTCTGCCACTCATTATAGACAGAAGTAGTTGACACTGCCTGGGATCTGATGCTCTATTCAAAAGGCCATTTTGCACCCAGCCAAGTGCTATGAGTCTGGATCTGCCCTGAATAGTGGGAGACATTTGGCTTGCCTCATTACCCATTGCTAGATCCATGATGATAAATAAAACAAAGAACAGGAAATGGTGGAAATCTGAAACAAAAACACAAATTGCTGGAGAAACTCAGCAGGTCTGGCAGCGTCTTGGGAAGAAAGCAGACTAAATATTTCAAGTCTGATGACGCTTCAGCAGATGTTGCCAGACCGGCTGAGTTTTGCCAGCAATTTCTGTTTTTGTATTAGATCTAAGGTAACCTGTTCCCTCATTGGCTCCATGACATATTGTTCCTGGAAGCTATCCCTAATACACTCTATGAATTTACTGTCATAGCTATCCCTTCCAATTTGATTAATCCAATCAACATGAAAATTTAAGTCACCCATAATTATTGCCCTATTCTTCTTACATGCTCCTATTATTTGTTGTTTTATACCTTGCTTACAGAATGGCTACTGTTTGGGGGTCTGTACACTACTCCTACCAGGGCCTCCTTTGCCTTGCTGTTATTTACCTTCAACCAAATATCATCTCAGCCTAGATCATCTCTCACAGCTATCCTTATTTTATCTTTTATTAATGGTGCTGCCCCACCACCTTTTCCATCCCTCTGGTCTTTCCAAAAGATCATCTATCCCTGAATGTTCAGTTCCCAGTTTTGATCTCCTTGTAACCATGTTGCAGTGACCCTAGAGTGAGGCAATTACTCCCAGTGATGCAGAATAATTTTAATACCCTTTCCAACCTGGATAGGACCTCTCACCTTCTGGATGGTATGTCCTACAGTCTGACTAAATGTCAATAATAGTAAATGAACTGAGGGATCCACAATTTACTCTGCAAGTCCTTTCTCTCCTGGGTTGGTATATTTTGTTGTTTGTATGTTCCATTTGATTTTAAACCTGAAGCACTGTCCCCAAAATTAATTCGGGAGCAGGACTAACTAAAGGTGAAGAACACATGCACAAAATTTCAAGTCAATTAGGAGCTTCATATTAAAGGATTTGAAACAGAAATGCTTCATTGTCAGATTTTATTCAGAAATAAACAAAATGGAGTCATAAAGTTACCAATTTCAGACAATTTGTCTTCTTACAATAGGTACAGTTTGGGAGAATGCACTCTGGCACATAGGAGTAATCAGGTAAGTGTTGTTCTGAAAGAGTTACTGTTAAAGCTGAATTAAGTTCCATCTAATTTCTTCATGACAGTCTTTGGGTGAAGAAGTAGCAGTGGTCCAGCACAAGCTCTCAATGTAGACAAATGTGTCATCTCTGTCCTGACAGTCTTTGTAATTATGCCAAATTAGCCCATTGTAACTTACACCTATTGCTATCATGCAATAAACCACTTTTTATTTTTAAGACCATAAGTCACAGGAGCAGAAGTAGGTTGTTCAGCCCATCAAGTTTGCTCCTACATTCAGTGAGAACATGGATAATCTGATAATCCTCAACTCCACTTTCCTCTTACTCCTTGACTTCCTTACTGAATAAAAATCTATCTCAGCCTTGAATATAGTTAATTATCCAGCTTCAATAGCCCTCTGTGGTAAAGAATTCCACAGATTCACTTCCATCTGAGAGAAGAAATTTCTCCTCATCTCTGTCTTAAGTGGGCAATCCCTTATTCTGAGATGATGCCCCCCGTCCTATAGTCTCCCACAGCCATAGAATCCCTATAGAGTGGAAGCAGGCCATTCCGACCATTGAGTTCCACACCAACCCTCTAAGGAGCATCCCACTCAGACCCAACCCCTGCCCTATCCCTGTAACCCTGCATTTCCCATGGCTAATCCACCTAACCAGCACTGTGGGAGGAAAGCGGAGGACCCAGAAGAAACCCACGCAGACACGGGGAGAACGTAAAAACTCCACACAGACAGTCGCCCAAGGAGGAATCAAACCTGGGCCCCTGGTGCTGTGAGGCAGCAGTGCTAACCACTGAGCCACCATGCCAGCCACAAGGGGAAACCACCTTCCCACATCTATCCTGTCAAACCCCCTAAGAATCTTTGTATGTTTCAATATGGTCACTTCTCATTCTTCTAAACTCCACTGAGTACAAAACAAATAACTTCTCCTTGTAAGACAACATACCTGGAATCAGCCTAATGAACCTTCTCTGGATTGCCTCCAAGCCAGCATAACTTTCCTTAGATAAGGGGCTCAAAACTGTTCATGGTATTCCAACTGTTTTTCTTTATTCATTCCTGGTATGCTGGCTGGCCAGCATTTATTGCCTGTCCCTAGCTGCCCTTGAGAAGGTGGTGGTGAAGGTGAGCTGCCTTCTTGAACCCTTGTAGACCATGTGCTATAGGTCAACCCACAATACCCTTAGGGAGGGAATTCCAGGATTTTGACCCAGTGACAGTGAAGGAATATATTTCCAAGTTCAGGATGGTGAGTGGCTTGGAGGAGGGCTTGGAGGTGGTGGTGTTCCCATATGTCTGATGCCCTTGTACTTCTAGTTGGAAGTGGTCGGGGTTTGGAAGGTGCTGTCTGAGGATCATTGGTGAATTTTTGGTGAATTTCTGCAGTGCATCTTGTAGATAGCACACACTGCTGCTACTGATTGTTGGTGGTGTAGGAGTGGATGCGAGTGGATGCTTGTGGATGTGTGCCAATCAATTGGGCTGCTTTGTCCTGGATGGTGTCAAGCTTCTTGAGTGTTATTGGGGCTGCACTCATCCAGGTAAGTGAGGAATATTCCCATCACACTCCTGACTTGTGCCTTGTAGATAGTAGACAGGCTTTGAGGAGTTACTCATTGCAATATTCCTAGCCTCTAACCTGCTCTTGGAAATTGTCCAGATCTTGTTGCATTTGAACATGGACTGCTCCAGTATCTGAGGAGTCCCAAATGATATTGAACATTGTGCAATCATTGGCGAACATCCCCATTCCAGACCTTACGATGTAGCAAAGGCCATTGATGAAGCAGCTGTAGATGGTTGGGCCTAGGACACTATCTCCTGCAGAGATGTCCTGGAGCTGAAATGACTGACCTCTAAAACAGCTAGGTGAGGTGAGAGGGACAGCCCTTGACATCAAGGCAGCATTTGACCAATTGTGGCATCAAGAAACCCTAACTGAACTGAAGTCAATGGGAGTCAGGGGGGTAAACTCTCTGCTGGTTGGAGTCACAGGAAGATGGTCGTGGTTGTTGAAAATCAGTCATCTCAGTTCCAGGACATTTCTGCAGGAGTTCCACAGGATAGTGTCTAAGGTCCAATCATCATTAGCTGCTTCATCAATGAGCTTCCCTCCATCGTAACGTTGGGATGTTCGCTGATGTTTGGACCATTAGCAGCTCCTCAGATACTGAAACAGTGAACATCCGTGTACAGAAAGACCCTGAACAATATTCACGTCTGACATGATTATGTAAATGTCTCCTGATAACATTCAATGGTATTGCCATCACTGAATCATTTACCATCGACATTCTGGAATATTCCTACACCCACTGGAGCAGGAACAGGAACATTCTGCCACCCTCTGCCGGCCTATTATTACCAAAGTCAGTGTTTAAAAGTAATGTTTTAATGATTCATTTCCTTCAGGTTGAACGAAGTCGATATTGGAAATGCCATTCGTCTGGTTTTTCCAGACATTGGAATATTTATCGGAAGCTTGGCTGCTTTTCTCATCTGCAGGAGCCTGTTGATTGATGCAGGCTCGCACGATGAAGCTCAGAATTTGTCCCATTCCGAGGGCAAGGTAAGGAGAAAGTCTTCCTTCTGAGATTGCAAAACCCAATCTTCAAACTCATTGTCTGTTTGACTTCCCAAGCCAGATGGTGGAGAGAGCAAATTGAGTATAAAGGAGACATCTAACCTTTCTTTTCTTGCTAATTGACCTGTGATTTAGTAATTCAAGTGAATTATCTTTATTTATTTGTTCACTCCACCACCCCTTACCAAAACAATGCTCATTAAGCAGAATAATTGTATGGGCCACTTGTAATCAAATTCCAGCTTTAGTTATTAGATTGCCCAATGTTCTTATTTCAGCTTTCAGTTAAATGTCAAAGTTATACATTTGTATCATTGAATTTGCAATTGAAACATTTACATTCTGACTTCTTTTACCTCTGTTTTCAGTCAGGTCATGAGAACAGACTGAGGCCATTCTATTGGATCATGACTTGATCACTGTCTCAACTCCATCCATATCACTTGATCCTTTTGACCGCAGAAAAGTCTATTGCAATCCTGAAACTTTTAATTGATCCCCAGAAACAATGACCTTTAACATGTCAGATCACCACACAACCTTCTAAATAGTAGACAGCACATGACAAGTTTAAACTTTTAAGTGTTTGGATTGTTCTGGTAAATCTATACTGAGCTCCTGTCAAAGCCAGTATATTCTCCTGGAGGGGGGAGGAAGGGGTGTTATGATGCACTGATAGTGTCCTTATCTCTGAGCTGGGAGGCCAACATTCAGGCCACACCTGTCCTAGGGGTGTGTCATAACACATCTGAACAAGTTGATTGAAAACATCTATCGCTGTGGCCAAACTAGTCTGAAAACGGTCAATCTCACCTGATCTCAGAAGTAACACTCCCTCTAAGCTGCATGCACAGCCGCCCCAATGTTCCACGCACAGGGATCGGTGTTGGTATGACAACCGGCATGCTGAACACGGCATTGATGTCCGATTCTGGAAGTTGCTGCCACACATGGTCCACGGCTGTTAAGAAAATTAGAGGGAATGCTGCTCGGAAGGTATACAGATTGGTTAGTGCTTAGATGGGATTTCACTTGGGAATACCAGGTGCAGTAGACTTAAGGGGCTTTTGTGATGCAATGGTAGTGTTCCTACCTCTGGGCCAGGAGGCCTAGGTTTAAGTCCCACCTGCTTCAGCAATGTGCTATAATATCTCTAAACAGACAGATTAAAAATATCTGTCCTTACTGAGATGTGCTGCCAAACTGAATGTGATACAAGGTCTGTCCAAGACACTATACAACTGAAGCATCACTTCCTCACCTCTGTGTCACCACCTTCTTGACATAATGGCTGACCTTTCTGCATCACTTTATCTACCAGTGCAGTCCCATTGGAAATGTCCAGGTAGAACATGCCAATTTATGGATTAGTGCCTTCTATTCCCTTACCCAAAAAATTAAATTTTGACCTCCTGTGCTCCTCAGAAGGAGGGGGATGAAACCGAATCTGAAGAAGAGACTGATTCTGAGATGGATTCTGAGGAAGACGAGGTTGAGAAATTGGAACAAGATGAAGCAGAAAAGAAACCAAATATCACTCATAAACTGGCTGCTGTGATTGTAGCAATTAAAGAGATGATTGGACATCTGATAATGGCAGCAGGAAAAGCTGTTTTGACTATTCTGCTATGTTTTGCAGGTTAGTGACTTACAGTTATTGAGCAGATACACACTTCTGGTACATATGTGTCCTCTTTAAATAGTCAACAAAAAAGAGAGACTTGTATTTATTTAGCATCTTTCACAACCTTAGGATCATACAATCCTTACGGTGCAGCAGCAGGCCTATTGACTCCACACCAACCCACCAAAGAGCATCCCACCCTGACCCATCCCAATAACCCTGCATTTCCCATGGCTACTCCACCTAGCCTACACACTATGGCAATTTCCCATGGCCAATCCATCTAATTTGCACATCTTTGGGCTGTTGGAGGAAACGAAAGCTCACACAGACACAGGAAGAATGTGGAAACTCTGTACAGACCGTCGCCCAAGAGTGGAATCAAACCCGGGCCCCTGGCACTGTGAGGCGACAGTGCTAACCACTGTGCCACCGTACCGCCCCAATGTCATAGTCAATAAATGGTTCAGCAAAGCATATTTGGAAGTTATCCACTGTAGTGAGGCAATCTTGTAGAAGAGTTGGTAGTGAGCTTACCTCAGAATGTCAGGATTTGAGTCTCACTCCGGGACTTAGTTTCCATGTGAGGTGCATTCACAACCTGACCAACAAGTGCAGCGTCAATTTGTAAATCGTTCCAACACACATCAATAGCAAGTGGTAAGACCAGGAGCTGTTTCTGATCAGCCATGTGAGGGGATGAAATTGGAGCCTCTATCATCACTATCCATAGCTCCAGGTCTTTTAAAAATGTGCATGGCACAGTGACTGCAAGTCCTTGGGTCACTGGTTGGTTCAGTTGGCTGGATGGTCTGTGTATTTGAGATTGGTGACAATAGCTCAGGCTTCCAATGCCATTTCAGATGGGGGTGGATTTGCACCATGTCTCCTCGCGGTGCACATAGTGGAGGACAGTGTGCTGTGGGTCACACCTGCCTTTGGGCATAGAACATAGAACAGTACAGCACAGGAACAGGCCCTTCAGCCCACAATATTGTGCCAGACATGACGCTAAATTAAACTAATCCCTTCTGCCTTCCCTTGGTCTATTCCTTGCATATTCATGTGCTTATCTACAAGTCCCTTAAACGTCCCTATCATATCTACCTCCACCACCACCCCTGGCAGTGCATTCCAGACTCCTACCACACTCCTGAGTAAAAAAACTTAACCCTCATATCTCCCTTAAACTTTCCCCCCTCTCACCTTAAATGCATGCCCCCGAGTATTAGACATTTCAACTGTGGGAAAAAGTTTCTGACCAAACTGAAGATTCACTGTTGCAAAGTAGGAAAGATACCAGCCAATTCATAAACAGCATTGGGATAAATGACCAGACAAACTGTTTTCTGAATGACGTTGGTTGAGGAATTAATATTGTCCAGGCACCAGAGAGAACTCCCTCAAAATAATGCCAAGGGATTGTTTATGTTCACCAAGTGGACAAGTGTGGGCCTTGGTTTAACATTTTATCAGAGAGTATCTCCCACATTGCAGCACTCCCTTGGTACTACACCAATGTGTCAGACTAGTTCAAGTCTCTGATGCTTGAACCAACAGTCCAGTGACTTAGAGACCAGAGTGTCACTCACCCGCAGGGCTTGTTTAATGTGTGTTGTAAAGAACACTTTTTTTTTTAGGATTGTGGATTAAAAATAATGGGGAAAAATTACTGCTTTAAACCGAGGAGACTGTGAAAGAAGATGCTGTAGTCTCAGAAATAATTTACCAGAACTCATTGTAAGTTGTCTTATTCAAGTGGAGGGATCAGGGTGCAGAGATATTGGATACTTCTGCTCTGTGAGTGTATCTCCAAGGCAGTTTTGCCCAGTCACAGTCCTTTAGTTGGTTTTTGAATTGACCAGTTGTTGCGAGTGTAAGAGTGATCAGCACAGTAACAGCCATTTAGTTAGTTACTGTGCAGTCTGTCTACAGCCTTGAGTGTGGGCAATGGAGGAGACCGACAGATAAGAAAGGCTCATGTCAGTGGAAGGTGGAGTAATCCCCTCCACCCACTCCTGATTGTGGAGGTAACAAGGTGTAGAGCTGGATGAACACAGCAGACCGGGGAGATAGGGGGAGGGGCACCTCATATTCCGCTTGGGAACCCTGCAGCCCAATGGTATCAATGTGGACTTCACAAGCTTCAAAATCTCCCCTCCCCCTACCGCATCCCAAAACCAGCCCAGCTTGTCCCTGCCTCCCTAACCTGTCCTTCCTCCCACCCATCCCCTCCTCCCACCTCAAGCCCCACCCCCATCTCCTACCTACTAGCCTCATCCCGCCCCCTTGACGTGTCCGTCCTCCCTGGACTGACCTATCTCCTCCCTAAATCCCCACCTACACTCACCTTTACTGGCTCAATCCCCACCTCTTTGACCTGTCTCCTCTCCACCTATCTTCTCCTCTATCCATCTTCTATCCGCCTCCCTCTCTCCCTATTTATTTCAGAACCCCCTTCCCCTCCCCCATTTTTGAAGAAGGGTCTAGGCCCGAAACATCAGCTTTCCTGCTCCTCTGATGCTGCTTGGCTTGCTGTGTTCATCCAGCTCTACACCTTGTTATCTCAGATTCTCCAGCATCTGCAGTTCCTACTATCCCTGATTGTGGAGGGATGGGAGCCCAGTGCTGCTATTTTACCAGCAGTGGGGGAATCAGTATCCCAGGTCACATAGTGAGGCATCGAGGTAATTCCAGAAGGCCTTGCAGTGGGCAGGGGGTATCCTGTACCAAGTGCCGAGCCCCACTTGTGGCACCTCCATTCCCTCTCATCCCCGTCCCCTCCACTTCACATGCTCTGCCACCCTCCTGAATGCAGAGCTCCACTCTGTCATTGATGCCTGTGGATGATCCCAACAAAACTCCACACTTGCCTTCTGATCTGGCTCCATGGCTCCTCCAGTGGGGTGGACCTGCCTGCAGCCCCAGCACCCTGAGGTGGCATCACTGGGACCAGAGGATGACCGGCCATGTGATTGGCAGGCAGCTCTCAGGGGCAGGAGCTCCTCAATGATGAGGGAGGCAGAGGTCCCTCCTCAATCAATAAAGAGGCCATTGGCTGCCTGCCCAAGCAGAGGTGAGCTGGTCTCTGTGTTTTAAGGCAGGTCTCTTGGTTATGCCTCGGTATGAAATGCAATCCTTCATACAGGCAAAATAAAAAGGAAGGATAAAAGAAGTACAAGAATAAAAGTGGTTTACAGAAACGATTTGTAGCAAGAGAAACAACTTGCTTAATAATGACTCCTTTTACCATCTTGGCAACTGTTAAATGCTTCATTGTCGACAAAACCCAATTGTATTCACTGTTGCAGTGCAGGGAAGCATGGTAACTAAATTTTACACAGTAAGATGCCACCGGCAGCGCTAAGATAATCTATTTTAGTGATGTTTGGTTGACAATGCTGGTGCCATGAGGCATTGAAACAATGTGAGAACCATCTGCAAGTGGTATGTACCAGCTGTGTGACACATTGTGTGTTTTCCAGGTATTGTGCACCCATCTCTCATCTCTGCAGTCTACTTCTTCACGTTCCTGGGGCTGTGCTCCTGGTGGGCGTGTGGGCATGTTTTCAGCTTGTTCTTCTTCAAGCGCTTGTGCCTTTTGATGGTTTTTGTCAGCGGAGGACACCTGACTGCAATCTACCTTTACCAGTTACCTGCATTTCAGCTTCCACCTGACCAGGTTCAAATGAGGTACGTTTTGGAGAGAAGCTCATAGAGTCATAGAGTAATACAGCATGGAAACAGGCCCTTCAGCCCAAGCTGGTCCATGCTGACCATGGAACCCACTCAGCTAGTTCCAATTGCCTTCATTTGGTCCATATCCCTCTAAACCCTCCCATCCATGTACCTATCTAAATGATTTTAAAAATACCTGCCTCAACCACATTTTTCTGGCAGCCCATTCCATATACGGACCACTCTGTGTGAAGAAGTTGCCCGTCAGGTCTTTCTTAAATCTTTCCCCTCTCACCTTAAACCTATGCCCTCTAGTTTTCAATTCCCCGGCCCTGGGAAAAACACTATATGCATTCATCCTATTTATGCCCCTCATGGTTTTATACCCCTCAATAAGGTCACCCCTCATTCTCCTATGTTCCAAGGAATAAAGTCCTATCCTGGCCAACCTCTCCCTATAACTCAGGCCTACGAGTCCTGGCAACATCCTCGTAAATCGCCTTTGCGCACTTTCCAGTTTAACTATGTCTTTCCTATAACAGGGTGACCAAAACTGTACGCAATACTCCAAGTGCGGCCTCACCAACGACTTATACAACTGTAACATAATGTCCCAACTCCTATACTTAATGCCTCGACCGATGAAGGCCAGCATGCTAAAAGCCTTCTTCACCACCCTGTCCACCTGTGATGCCGCTTTCAATGAACTATGTACTTGTACTCCTAGGTCCCTCTGTTCCACCACACTCCTCAGGACCTTACCACTTATTATAAAAGTCCTACCTCGGTTTGAATCTCCAAAGTGCAGCACCTCACACTTATCTGTATTGAACTGCATTTGCCAATCCTCAGCCCGTTTCCCTATTGGATCAAGATCCCTCTGTTTTGATAACCTTCCTCTCTATCAACAATACCTCCTAATTTTGTACCATCCACAAACTTACTAATCATGCCTTGTACATTCACATCCAGATCATTTGTGTAAGTAACAAATAACTTGCGGGTAAATCCACAGCAGAGCAGTGGGAGATGTTCCAAAAGGCATTTGGGGTGAGGTGGGGGGTGTACAACCCTAACATATTCCCTTTAGGGTGAAATGTACGAGCAACGAGCCCTGGGAACCATGGATGTCTATGAATATTCAGGACTGAAAAGGAAATATAATGGTACAAAGGTAGAAAAACAACAAAGACTTTAGAGAAGTATGGAAAGTACAGAAGGGAGCTCAAGAAAGCAATTAGGAAAGCAGAGGGAGCACGAAAAAATGCTAGTGGGCAAGATTAAGGAGAACCCAAGATATTCTACAAGTATATCAAGGGGAAGAGAATAACCAGGGCAAGAGCAGGGCCTATTAGGGACCAAGGGGGCAATATGTGCAAGATGCTAGAGGACATTGTACAGTGTTAAATGAGTATTTCCATCTGTCTTTAATTGGGAGGAGGAAATTGCAAACATAAAATCAAGAAGGACTGTGAAGTTCTTGAGTGAATTGATACAAGAAGTGAGGAGATGTTGAAGGTTTTGGCAGATTAAACAGTGGACAAATTGCCAAATCTAGATGAGTTGTATCCCCAGGCTGCTGTGTGAGATTAGCCAGGAAATTACAATGGCCCTGACCCAAGCTTTAAAATGCCTCTGGCCACGGGGAAGTGCCAGAGAACTGGAGGGCAGCTAATGTGGTTCTACTTTAAAAGGGTGGCAGAAATAGATCATGGCACTATAGACCAATGAGTCTAATATTTAGTGGTAGGGAAATTATTGAAGAAAAAAATTAAAATCCATTTAGAGAGATATTGTTCGATCAGGGATAGTCAGTGTGGTTTTGTCAAAGGGAAGGAACGTCTAACAAATCAAGGTGATATTTTTCAGGGAGGTGCATAGCCTGGTCCATAGTAATCAGACAGGTAGAAAACTTACCGGGGTGAGTATGAAGAGAAATTGGCTTCTGTTTTGGTTTAAAATGGACATTCTAAATTGTGTAGAATCTTCAGGAATGTTACTTTGACCATGTGTATACATTATGAGGTGTAACTGTGGTACATTTATTAGGGACAAGTGTAGCTCCTGTACTGCACACTTCAGAGAATCATAGAATCGCCAGAGTGTGGAAACAGGCCATTCAGCCCGACAAGTCCACACCGATCCTCTGAAGACCATCCCAATCAGACCCATTCCCCTACCCCATCCCTGCATTTCCCATGGCTAATGCATCTAACCTACACATCCCTGGAAACTATGGGCAATTTAACATGACCACTCCACTGAACTTGCACATATTTGGACTGTGGGATAAAACCGGAGCACCCAGAGGAAACCTGGGAACCGGGTTCAATTCCAGCCTCTGGTGACTGTTTGTGTGGAGTTTGTACATTCTCCCTTAGTCTGCGTGGGTTTCCTCTGGGTGCTCCGGTTTCCTCCCGCAGTCCAAAGATGTGCAGGTTAGGTAGATTAGCTATGCTAAATTGTCTGTAATATGTAGGGATATGTGGATTTGGGGGAATTAGTCAGGATAAATAGGCGGTTACAGGAATAGAATGGGGGCTGGGATCGGAGTGAACTGCCCTTCAGAGGTTCGGTGCAGACTTGGTGGGGTGAATGGCCTTTCTTTGCACTGTAGGGATTCTGTGTGCAGGCAGTCAGGATTAGTTTAGAATGGCATTGTGGTCAGCACAGACATGGTGGGCAGGAGGACCTGTTCCTGTGCTGAACTGTTCTATGTTCCACCATCTTTGAGGAAAGGTTTCAAAGACTTTAAACACTCTGAGGAAAAAAAAAAAAATCTGTCCTCATGCTTTGGATGGGCAAACACCTGTTTTTAACAGTGATCCCTCATTCTGGAGTCTCCCATAAAAATATCCTGTCTCCATCAACACCTCTCAGGATCTCTCATGTTTCATTTGAGTCACTTCTGACTGTTCTAAACTCTATTGAATAAAAGCATGATACTACAGATATCTGGACAGTGATCCACTCTTAAAATTACTGTCAGTGCTGGTGATAGATCTTTTAAATTACTGTCCAGGTAGTGATCCACTCTGTTAATTCTCTGTCCATTTAGCTATCCATTCTGTTAGTTTATTGTCCAGTAGTGATCCGCTCTGTTCATTCTCTGTCCAGGTGGTGATCCAGTGTGTTCATTATCTGTCTGAGTAGTGATCCACTCTGTTCATTCTCTGAATGATTGTGATCCACTCTGTTAATTCTCTGCTTGGGCTGTGGAGCTTAACCCATGTTGAATGCAGCAGCAAAATCTAAGGGAATGATTGAATGAAATCACTGGGTCCATTGGGCACATGTTGAATGATGTTGTCTTGAAGTGTGCTGTAAAGTCACACAGGACCAGAAGTTGCTCCCTCATTAGAGAGTGACAACGGGTGGTAGTTTAACCTGAGGGTGACCACACTCCAGGTGAGGACAGAGGTTGAGAAAGTGAGACTTTCATGGTAACCTCAGCCGGTGCAGGAACTGAACTTTCGCTGTTGGCATCAGTCTGTGTTGTAAACCAGCCATCCAGCCAACTGAGCTAATCGGCCCCCAGTGCCAGTTCAGCCCAACCCAGAAATCACCACCAAGTCAACACGATAGTGAGAAACAAGCAAAGCAGGAAGCTGTGAAGAGCCTTAAAGCTGTTCCCTAACAGCAAAGGATTATATTTAAGAAAGACTTGTTAGACCTTGATGCTTTGACCTTTAAAAGAGTTGCCTTTACATAAAGGAAGTTTATGTTTTATATGATTAATGTGGCTCATTCAAAGCTATGGAGTAAGGATAGAATTAAGGGACAGGGAGATAGGCCAGGACAAATATGTTGTGAAACAGTGATCAGCACTTGGACAGGAGGTGAAAGCCTTTGATTCAAGGATTCAGAGACTCCGAGGTTAAAGGTTTTAAAATGATAAAATGGTTTGATAGTTGGAGAAATGATCTCCTCTCTCAAAGGAATCACAAAGAAAAAGGCCCCACTATCAGATTAGATGATATTGCCAGTCGGGAGTATAATCATGAGGCATTTCTTCACACAAAACCTAGTAGAAATCTGGTGCTCTCTGCTCGCAAGAGGCTGTGCGTGTTGGGAACAAAGGAACAGGAGTAGGCCATTCAACCCATCAAGTCTGCTCCACCCCTATCCACATAGATCATAGCTGATCAGAGCCATTTTCCACTCGAGTGGGGTTCAATTAAAATTATGAAGATTTTAATGAGGTAAAGATATCAAGAGATGTATATTCAATGTGGATAAATAGCATTAATTAACCATGATCTAACTGAATCGCAGAGCAGGCTTAAATTGCCACCTTGTGTTGACTGGGATCTGTCCAGCATGTGCCTTACAATTAATTTCTGCTTTTTCTTGAACCAGGTTGCTTGGAATGACAGCTGTGATCCAAACCAATATGTCAGCGCCGTGGTGTCTGATGACCCATCATGGGCTGCACTGGCCTGTCATTCTGAACCCCATCGTGCTGCTTGTTCTGTACTACACCATGGCAACCATCATTCGGCAACTGTTTCTCAGTGAGACCGGGGTAAGGACTGCTTTTAGCTGTGTGAGATTTGCTGGCAATGCATCTTCATTCTCCTCACCACCATGTGAGTGCATTGACTTCACCAGATAGTGCTTTTCAAATCTTTATTGAGCCACAGTATTGAGCAGTAATGGTGCCTCGAATGGCTTCTGCTGTTGATGAATTCAGAGTAAAAATGATTTATTTTTGGCTCCTTGTAGTTACTGGAGTTACAGCGAATATAATGGTCCATGAAGGGACTTTGCTTCAAAGTTTCTCAGAGCAACTTATTGCTGACAATTCTCAATTTTCTCATCTGTCTTTCCTGAGAGGGTTGAGTCTTCCAGCGGTTCTGTGGAAACATTTTACTTGGGTTGGTGGGGGTGAAGGTGAGGTATCTTCAGCTTAGGACAGGCTTCAGCATTTAAACACTTCCTGGGTTAACCCTTGGTAGAAGTTGTGCAACAAAATTTGGTAAAATTACTCTATGTTCCTTTGGGCTGCTCCCCCAGTGTTTTAACTGGTGCGAAGCAGAAAGATATTCAAAGGAGTTCCAGCCAATCCCATTGCCCACTTATCCCGGGGCGGTCTGTCCAACTGTGCTGCTTTCTTGCTCAGGTTAATAAAGAACATATTAACAATACTGGGGTACAACTATTAATCAGATCAAGAAGCACTTATGATGTTATGGCTTTGCAGATTGTAATTTTGTCAGGAAAACGTCTTCAAAGCTTTCCAAGTAGTATTGTCAATAGTGTTGCACTGTTACCTTTCCACTAACAGAGCAGAAGAGGCAGAACGCGGTAATTAAATGTTCATTGTTAACACAGGGTTTCTGCGTGATTGTCCTTTTGCTTGACAGACTGATCTTCCAGAGGTGAAAGTTTACACTGCGGAAAGCTCGTCAGAACAGATCGATGTAGAAGCCAACCTACAGATTGTCGAATGTGATGGTGACAAGGTAGAACAAACTAGTAATTCGATCTCAGACAGAATAATAGTAGTGCCTCAAAGGAAGTGGGCCTGAACTTATCTCTCCCTCTCCCTCTCTCTCTCTGGGGTCTGAAGTCTCTCAGAGTCATAGGGAATAGTAAAACATTCCCCTGTCCCACAACAAGCCCAGAGCCACCTTCCTCCCTACCATGTAAACGTTAATGCCAGCACTTTTCTACAGCTTCCTCTGAGTAACAGCAGAGTATTTCAACAAAGTTGATATCTGTCCTGTCACACAAGGAGAATCCACATTGAATGGTTCCAGTTCACTGAAATCTACATTCCACTGGCTACCCAACCAGGCCAGGCCAGACTGGACTGGAGCAGACCAGCGGCTACCATGGCAACTGCAGGGCCCAGGCCCCTGGCTGACCTCCAACACCGCACCCAATGTGAGGGGGAAACAGCAGAATCCTGCCTCACCTACCCCAAATACTTGATCAATCACTTTTGGTATAACAGTCAGAAATAGTGTCTTGTTGTATTCTGGCTTTCTGTGATTATTGTGTCTGAGCACAGCAGCTGTTGACTAACCCAGTAATTGTCTCTATGCGGTGGAGTTGACTGATGCCTTGTATTTACAACAGGGGAACAATAACTGTCTGCCAGTCCAGATGTACAGCTCCCCAGAGTACACTCTGCAGTCCTCCAGTGCTGGTAAGATTCCTAACACAAGACAAAATGTGGGTAAGTGGCAGGAAATGTCGTGGATGATGATTAGTCATTGGTAATTACTTTGTGACCGAGGGTAGCACCAGGATTTCTCGGAGGGTGAGATACAAGCAGTGTGCTTATCCCATGGCATTTTGCTCAGACAGGGCACAGGATCCTCCACTGGATTAGACCCTGAGTTTTTGTCCAAGTCAGCTTTGAGATGGGAATAGAGTCCAGGATATGGCGGAAAATTGCTGCTACACTGGCACATTATCTCATAAATTATTTGTGTTCAGCTGATTCTTTTTATAAATGTTTACAATCCAAACCTTTTGCAGTCAGCGGAAACAGCATTCATGCATGTCACTGCATTCGTTTAACTTCCATTAACATGAAGTGGCAATATCCATGGAACCCACACTATGTCAGTGTCTGAGCTAACACAACAATACCCATGTTCGTGCCAGGCTGAGTTTCCTGACTCACTGTGTGCTTATAGCTTCCAGAGGCAGTACAGCTCTCTGACGGCATGGGACTGGCATCGATGACCCTGGCAACTCTCTGCTGTCTTGATACTCCACGTAGATTACAGATGAAGGGCATTCCCTCACAATAAGAAGATGAACCAAAGAACCATGGACGCTGAAGATCTGAAACACAAACAGAAATTTCTGGAGAAACTCAGCCGTTCTGGCAGAATCTGTGCAGAGAGAAAACGGCGTTAAAGTTTTGAGTCCAGTGACACTTCAGAACCGTTAGTAGCTAGGAAAGGTGGTATTAGTTCTGAAGAAGGGCTACTGGACTCAAAGCATTAAGTCTGTTTTCTCTCTGCAGATGCTGCCAGACCTGTTTTGTATCTGCAGTACTTTCTGTCTTTATTCTGTCAGCTTCAGGAACCCAGATTTGATTCCACCCTCAGATGACTGCCTATCTGTGTGGAGTTTGCACGGTCTCCATGTGTCTACATGGGTTTCCTCCGGGTGCTCCAGTTTGCTCCCACAGTCCAAAGATGTGCAGGCTAGTTGGATTGGCCATGTGAAATACAGGATTACGGGGGGTGCGTAGGGTAGGGTGGGATGCCCTTCAGAGGGGTTGGAGTGGACTCGATGGGCCAAATGGCCTGCTTCCACACTCTAGGGGTTCTATGATTCCACAATGCCAGCTGATATGTATGAGCATTGGACATCTGGGAATTAAACCTTTATTTCAATCAAGTGTGCGGACATTGGCTGTTGCTGTAGCTGAGAGCGTGGAACTCGGAACCCCGACACTAGAACTACATACAAATAAGGAACAGGAGTAGGTATTCAGGTCTTCGAACCTTTTCCACCATTCAATATGATCGTGGCTAATGTGGTTTTATCCTCAACTCTACATTCCTGCCAATCCCCGATAATCTTTAATCCCCTTGGTCATCGAGAATCTACTTGCCTCCGCCTTCAAAATATTTCAAGATTCTGCATCCACTGCCTTTTGAGGAAGGGAATTCTACAGACACTCAACACTGTGAGAGAAAAAGTTGTTTTCCTCTTCTCCCTGACTCCGAGTTCTAGATTCTCCCACTTGAGGGAACAAACTTCCTACATCCACCCAGTCAAGCCCCGTCAGGATCATATGTATTTCAATTAAATCACTTCAGACTTTTCCAAACTTGAGAGGATACAGGCCAAGCCTGTCTAGCCTTTCCTTGTAAAAAAATCCACCCCATTCCAGGTATTAGTCTGTTTCTATAGATATAGCAGTTGGGGCGATTGGGATCAAAGGTTATGGGGAGAAAGAAGGATTAGGCTATTGAGTTGGACAATCAGCCATGATCATGATTAATGGCAGAGCAGGCTTGAAGGGCCAAATGGCCTCCTTCTGCTCTGATCTTCTGTGTTTCTATGTTAAACCTTCTCTGAACTACTTCCAATGCATTAACATCCTTCCTTAAGTATGGTCACCAATCCTGTATGCAGTACTCCACATGCAGTCTCACAAATGCCCTGTGTCACTGAAGCATAACCTCCTTAAGTAAGAGATAACAAGGTGTAGAGCTGGAATGAACACAGCAGGCCAAGCAGCATCAGAGGAGCAGGAAGGCTGACGTTTCGGGCCTCTTGTATTCAATTTCCCTCACAATAAAACATAAAATTCTATTTGCTTCCCTCAGGTTTTGATGTTTTTAATGATGATTAATGAACAGTAACAGTGACCATGGAAACCTCATGATGCTGACTTTTATCTGGGTGAAAGGAAGGAAAGTTTTCATTTTATAGCCAACTTGTCTTTGAGCCGATCCACCATTACAGATGGTGTGATGGTGCTTGGAAAATTCTGGATGTTCTATTATTATTCTGTTCCAAATGACTGCCATTTGGCTTGGGACAAGGCACCTGCCTGTTCCAATCAGAATGATCCAAAGAGAGACCAGTGTAATTTTGAGGTAAATTTGGGAATATCAAGCACCAAAACCCATCAACCATATGGGGCCTGCTGATGAGCAGTGAAATAGTTATTAAAGGATCATTGTAGCCGGCCCTGAGAACAGCCAGTGATCACTACCTACCCCCTTCAGGGTACTGCAGAGACCCTGGGTTCCTCCTCTCAATTGTGAGCATTAGACCAGAGCTCTGTATTCAACCAGGAACACGGAATAAGAGGTCTCCCTCAAAGGTGTTTCAGGGCTCACGCCAAGGATCTCAGGCTTGTTAGGCAATGCCACCAACGGTGTGCCTTCAAATGGCCTCAAATTGTTTCCAGTACTGTGAATGACACTGGGATACATGACAAGCTGTGTTAGAGATGCTGATATGAGGGACGACAGACCACTTGAAACCTGAAATAAAATATTTGAAACAGTCGTTAAGGAGCCTAATAGGATTCTTCAGTTTATAAATAAAGGCATAAGGTATAAAAGCAAGCAAGTGACGCTATGCCTCTACAAATGATTGGTTAGACCATATTTGGAGAATTGTATTCAGCTCTGGGCACCTTATTTAAGGAAGGATGTTAAAACCCTGCAGAGAATTCAAGAGATTTACTAGAATGATACCAGGAATGAAGGATTTTAGCTACAAGGAAAGATTAGAGAGATTGGGCTTATTCTCCTTGGAGCAGAGAAGATTAAGAGGTGACCTTAATGAGGCATTCAAAATTATGAACAATTTTAAAGAATATTCTATTTCCCCTAGTTAGTATATCAGTAACTAGGGGTCACATTTTCAGGATTGTCAGCAAGAGAGCCAGGAGTGAGATGAGGAGAAACTTCTTTACTGAGAGAGTTGTCAGGATTTGCAACATGCTTCCTGGGAGAGCGTTGGAGGTAGATTCCAGAGGAGGTATCCGAAAGAGAGCTGGATATATTTCTGAAAGGAATGAAGTTAGAGGACTACGGATAGGACTGGAGAATGGGACTAGCGGGGTAGCTCTTTTGGCAGCTGGTACAGACATGATGGGTCAAATGGCCTCCTTCCTTCTGTACTGTAAAATTCTATCATTCTAAGGAAAGTATAAATTGAACATAAATAATTGTCTGAGTGAGGTAACATTTCAGGAGAGACTACCATAACTGTTGTGAATCCCTCAGACATTTCATCTGCCCTTCCCATTCAGATGCCCCTGGCCCTCTGTACATTCCCAGCATTTTCTGTTTTCATTTTCAATGAAGCAAATTTAGTGATTGAAAGAAAAGATCTTTTACCCAACAAAGGGGGAGAATGTGCTTTGGCGCATTATCTTTTCCATCAGAATCTAACTCTCTGAGCATTAACTCTTTCTTTGAAATATTAACCCTCCCTCTAATATATTAATCCACTTTCTGGCATATTAATATTTCATCTGAAATATTATCCCTCACTAATATATTAATTCTCTTCCTGCTTTATGACCCTTCCTTCTTAAATATTAACCCTACCTCTAAAATATTAATTCTGTCTCTGATATATTAATCCTCTCTCTGAAATATTGACCCTCTCTCAGATATATTGACCTTGTATCTCATATATTAACCATTTTGCCAAACATACCAAACCTACAATCTTGGCATTTTGAATGTCTTTAATACACGTTCTCTTTTGCTGGAATGATGCATTATTCCAAATATTTCTCATTCTAAATACATGAAATAGGCTTGATACACCTGTACTTCCATGACCTTAAATTCACGTAGTCGTTTGGTGGTACGGAACTTGTATATTGCTGGAAAAAGAGACACACTGTTGAAGATCTTCATCCAGCTGTCGTCAGGACAATTTGCAAGAATACCAAATCCCAAAGGAAATAACAATTTATGCTGCATGAGAAGACTATATGGTGGGGAAGTAGACTCTGATTGATAGAGGTGCTGCCATGGAAAATACACCAGGGAACATTTCACTATCAAGCTTTTGTTTAAATTCAATTCTGGTAAATCCAACTCTGGTCAAGTCATTGCCATGAGCAAATGTCTGTCATCCAGCCTTTTTGTTTAGTTGAAAAAAGCATAATGTTTGGACATGTTCTTTCTATTTGCGAAGGATGGGGTCCTGTTTTTGAATATATGTTGCTTCTAGCATGTGTAAGTGAGCCACATTGTGAGCCAGGCGGATAACCTTAAATTGGTTGTTAGTGTAATTCTTGGCACAATCAGGTCTGTTTAGCAAGTGTTAAATTCATATCTTTTGCTTAATACAGAGTCATAAAGTCATACAACGTGGAAATAGACCTTTTGCCCAACTTGTCCATGCTGATCAGGTTTCTCAAGCTAAACCAGTCCCATTTGCCTGCATTTGGCCCACATCCCTCTTAACCTTTCCTATCCATGTACTTGTCCAAGTGTCTTTTAAATTCTGTAACTGTACCTGCCTGTCCCTCTTCCTCTGGCAGCTTGTTCCGTACTCGCACCGCCCTCTGGGCAAAAATGTTGCCCCTCGGGTCCTTTTTAAATCTTTCCCTTCTCACCTTTAAAAGTATGCCCTCTAATCTTGAAATACTCCACCCTCAGGAAATGACACCTGCTGTGCACCTTATCTATACCCCTTAGTGGTCTGAGCATTGAAGGCAAGCGTGCCAAATGCCTTCTTCACTACCCTGTCTACATGTGATGCAACTTTCAAGTCACTGTGAACCTTAACCCCTAGGTCTCTCTGTTTGACAACAGTCTCCAGGCCCTACTATTAACTGTGTAAGAATAAAGTAGAATTCCTGCAGTATAGAAACAGGCCACTCAGCCCAACAAGTCCACACCAACTCTCCGAAGAGCATCCCAGCCAGATCCACACCCCCACCCGATCCCTGTAACCCTGCATTTCGCATGGCCAATCCACCTAACCTGCACGTGTTTGGACTGTGAGAGGAAAGCAGAGCATTCAATAGAAACCCATGCAGGCACAGGGAGATTGTGCAAACTCCACACAGACAGTTGCCCGAGGCCGGAATTGAACCGGGGTCCCTAGCTAACCACTGAGCCACCGTGCCACCCTGTTCATCTTACCAAAATGCAACACCTCACATTTATCTAAATTAAATTCCATCTGGGATTCCTCAGCCCCATTGGCCCAATTGATCAAGATCCCTTTGTAACCTTTGTAATCTTAGATAACCTTCTTCACTACCTACTATACTACCAATTCTGGTAAATGACAAACAACAGTGGACCCAGCACTGATCCTTGTAGCACACCGCTGGTCACAGGCCTCCAGTCCAAAAAAAAAACCCTCTACCACCACCCTCTGTCTCCTACCTTACAGCCAATTTTGCATCCAAATGGCTAGCTCTCTCTGGATCCCATGTGATCTAACCTTACTAGCAAGTCCACCCTATAGAACCTTGTCAAAGGCCTTGCTAAAGTCCATGTAGACAATGCCTACCTTCTTGGCCACATGCTCAAAAAACTCCATCAAGTACGTGAAACATAATTTACTCCACACAAATCCATGCCAACAGTCACTGCCTTCGAATGCATGTAGATCCTGTGTCTCAGAATCCCCTCCAACAACTTGAGCACTGCTGATGTATTCTCAGTTTGCCTAATTCATACCCCAATGAAGTCTGATTATTTAATTTCTTTGATAAGGTCTTTTCTTTTGCTACCTTTTCTGTAGAGGAAACTTTCAGCTTATCGGTTGCCAGTCTCAATCATTAACAATTTGGGTCAGTCCTTTTGTCATTCTCTGCATCTTTGCATTGGTGTTTGGAATCTTTCAGGACTGTATTTACCTCTCTATTATCTTGCTTCCCCTGCTGAAACCTTCACAGGGATGGAAATAAAAGATGACGCATCTGGGAACCCACCCAGCAGCATGACGATCATTGGCCACTTCATAATGCAGCAGAGTTACATCTGTGCACTCATATTCATGATGGTAAGGGTGGAGGCATGATTTCCTTTTCAATCTTTGCTGATGTTACTTTTATGATGCCATTGAGGGCTGGAGAATAAACCTCAAGTGAGACAATTGCACATGACATCAAAAAGAAACTTTCAATTTGGTGCCTGGTTTTGGGGAAACACATTCTGCACACATCACCTTATATGTTTCTGCAATAGTAATAAAACATCTTCATTAAGATGGTTGTGTGAGATCTCAGAATCATGTACTGCTGTGAACACCCTGGATTCAATTGCAAGGATTGTTTTTGTCACAAGGCCTGAATATGAATGTAAATATTCATGTTTGCACTTATTTTTACAGTTGAAAGATTTTCAATGATTTTCTGCAAAGAGTTTTGGGGTTTTGAAGACAATCAAAAAAGAGTATGATGTCAATAGCCTTAGTATCTTCAAATATTTCTACTCAATATTTGACTCAGCTTTTGTGAAAGATTATTCTCCCGCAACTCACTTTCTCTCTATATCCCTCAGTTCCCATCTATTCACCTTCTCTCTCTATCCCTCAGTTCCCATCTATTCACCTTCTCAATATATCCTTCAGTTCCCACCTACTCACCTTCTCACTATATCCCACAGTCCACCCCCCCAATTCATCTTCTCAGTACATCCCTCAGTTCCTACCTATCGACCTTGTACCTCAATCCTATTTCTGTACTATCTCACTATCACTCAGTACCATCTATTTACCTCTTTATATTTCACCCCTCTTAGCTCCATCCTACTGTGTCCACAAATCTCACCATACCCCACAGTCGTTTCTCTTTTGAATTATTTCCAATATATCTCTTAACCACTTTAATGCAGATTTAATGCTTTAGCCTGTTAGTTTAATTGAAAATTTAATTACCATTTGGATAAAAAGAGTTTCACTTATTTTTCTTTAACATTTCTTCAGTTTTGAACCTAATTCTCTAATTTGTTGGTGTTACTAATTGCCTTCAGAATCAGTTCAGTCACCGTCAAAGCTCCACTTTATCCAAAATGAACAATGTAACGTAACCTACATCTGTGGCTTATGTTCAAGATAAGGAGATACAGGACCAGGCCATTCAGCCCCTCAGCCCTGCTGCATTATTCAACAGGATCATGGCTGATCTGATCTTGACCTCAACCTTCCTGCCTGTTCATGGTAAATTTTGACTCCCCACTAGTTTGAAAATCTGTTGTGTCAGCCTTTGAAAGCATTCAGCGATCCAGCCTAGCTCACTGGGGAAGAAAATTCTAAAGATTTATGACTCTTAGAGAGAAGAAATTCCATCCTGAAAAGGCAATCACTGATTCTGAGATTGTGTGCACCTAGTTCCAGATTTCCCTGGGCAAACATCTTGGTAAGGTCTCTCAGGATCTTACATGTTTCAATACAACCACCACTCTTTGAAAACATTTTGATTCTTGGGGGTCATTCTGTTGCTGTATTGAGGCAGTGAGGAAGTAAATAGTTTGGTCCTCGCCTGGAGGACTTTCGATGCAGAGATAGTTTAGAAACTTATCAATAATTCCATTTCTCTGTAGATCTGGAGCATTACTTACATCAGCTGGATGACTTTTGTCCTTTTGATCTGGTCCTGTGTGATCTGGATGTTACGCGACAGTCAGCGATGGGCAAAACTGAGCTCTCCCCTTCTGACGGTTTATGGGAACTTGCTGTTAACTCAACAGTTCATTACAGGCTTGGAGTTGAGTGAGGCTGAGCTGTTCCCCACAGCCTCTAACGCTGTCCTGATCGACTTTGACCTGAAGCATTCAAACACACCGTGCGTTCACCTGGGAGCTAAGGTTCGTATGCAGCGTGACAAACCCTAATCGTGTTCAGCAATTTAAACCCATTGTAACAGCGGGATGTGAATAGAGTTAAATAAGATATGCCAGAGATCCCATGATGTGGTTCACGAAATCATGAAATCCCTACAGTGTGGAAGCAGGCTGCTTGGCCCTTCAAGTCCTCACCGACCCTCCAAACAGCATACCACCCAGACCCATTCACCTACCCTATCCCTGTAACCCTGCATTTCTTGCACCTAACCTGCACGTCCCTGGTTTATTAGGAGATGTTTGGTGGGGGTCTGGGAGAGTGTCAGTGGAAACAATGTCAGAGGTGAAGATTTAATCAATAATAAACACAGAATATGTGATTGACACAGTTCTTCAAACAGGTCGAATAAAAGCAATGAAGACCACAGAGGTTTGAATGATTAAGTGGTTGGATAGATGTTAGATTATGTAAAATGTACAGCACAGAGGCAGGCGGTCATCCTAATTGGTTTCTGGGACTGCGTGGAATACAATTCTACAATATTCCAAGCACTGAAAGTCCTCTTTTCGTCAGATACGTTGCAATTAATTTAACACATGCCATGTGGCAAGGATCGAACATAAGTCTTTGTCCAGAAAGTTCCTCAAATCCTATTCTCACTTGCCTGGCATCACTTTAAGAGAGCAACATGGATTCCATCGCATAAAGCCAATCCGAGAAATTTCCCAGAGAATGATAAACTAAAATGTTGAGAGCAGTTTCAGCAAGGTTAAAGGGAGAAAGAATCACCGAGTTATCACACTGTACAAGGAGGGAATTTAGCCCCTTGGTCTGCACCAGCTCTTCAAATAAACATCTTGACTTTGTGCCAATCTCCTGTGCCTTTACCCCATACTTTTGCACAGTATTTCTACCCAAATAATCATCCAGTGCCCCTCTTGAATGCCTGTACCACATTTCCAGAAGGTGCATTCCAGACCCTAACTACTCACTGTATGAAAAATTATTTTTTTACTCACATTTACGTTTTTGTCTTTTGTAAATCAGCTTAAATCTGTGCCCACTCATTTTTGATCCTTTTATGAGTGGGAACAGTTGCTCTCTGTCTACTCTCTCCAGACCCCTCCTGATGTTGGAAGCTATCTATAAGGTCACCTCTGAGTGTTCTTCTTTTCAAGGAGAACAACTCCAGCTTCTCCGATCTATCCCCGTAACTGAACTTTCTCATCCCTGACAACATTGTTTAAAATCACTTCTGCACACTCCCCAATGCATTCACATTTTTCTTATAAAATGGCGCCCACAATTGTACATAATATTCCAGCGGAGGTCTAACAAGTGTCTTATACAAGTTCAACATCACCTTCCTGTTCTTGTACTCTATGCCCCTATTAAAGCTGAGAACACTCTACACTTTATTTACTGTTCTCTATCTGTCCTGTACCTTCAATGATCTGTACATATAGACACCCAGGTCTTTCTGTTCCAGTACCCCCTTTAGGATTGTATCCTCTATTTTAAATTGCCAGCCATTGTCCTTCTTATCAAAATCACCTCACATTCTTCCACATCGAACTTCATCTGCCACCTATCTGCCCACTGCACCAACCTTTCTATGTCCTTTTGCAGTTCTAAACTATCCACTTCAGTTTTAAGTGCTTCCAAATTTCATATTATCTGTCAACTTTGAAATTGCCCTCTGCACACCCAGATACAGATCATTACCAGAGACAAGGAAAAGCAAGTGTCCCATTATCATCCCAGGGAAATCCACTACAAAACTTCCTCCAGCCCAAAAAGTATTCATTGACCATTACTCTGTTTGCTTTTCACTAAAAATGTTTTGTATGCATGTTACTACTGACCCTTTTATTCCATGACCTATAACTTTGCTTACAAGTCTGCTGTGTGGCATTGTATCAAATACCTTTTGGAAATCCGTGAATACTACATCATCAGCATAACCCTCAGCAAGCCTTTCTGTTACATCTTCAAAAAGTTCCAACGAGTTAGTTAAATGCAATTTCCCCCTTAAGAAATTCATGCTGACTCTTCATAATCTACTTTTTGTCTGTGTGACTACTGATTCTATCCCGAATAATCGTTTCTTGAAGCTTCTGCATCACAGAACGTGTGAGTTAAACTGACTGGTGTTAATCTGACTGAAAGGCATTCAGGTTGAGAGGTTACCCCAACACTAATTAGACAAAAGGACTGCTTCTAATAAAAAGGGGAGCATGCAATGGGAAACGAAGCTCAGCAAAAATAAGAGTTTGACAACACCTACTACATGAGAAGTCAAATATATTACTCTGTGCCACCAGTCTCTGATCAAACTAATCTAATCATTGCCTGGAAACAAAATATTAAAGGAATTTATTGGGAGTGACTACTTGTAAAATGCCCTACTTGATTCCCAGTCAGCCTCACTGCTCAATGATGGGTTTTGAATGTTGTCTTGCTTTTAGTTAGTGACACATTCTGCTAATTGGTGTAGGGAGTCCTCCATTATTCTCATCAATTGATTGGCTTTTTGGGCCTTCATTCGCTCCTGAATCCAATCCCTTCTTGGCCTGATTGTGTTCCCTGCAAACTGAGCATTTCCCTTCCATGATTCAAAATGGGCCCAAAACATTAAAAACTGAACAAGATGGTTTGGGGATGCAGTGGGCTGGGATTGGGACTGGGATTTGACATTGGGAATTAGTTGCTGAGTATCAGTGTCCTTGAGGACATGTCCCATTTTGCAGGTCATCTATACTTTCACCTTTTGGATCTTACTGCGTCAGCACTTGACTGAGAAAGAGGAAGTGAGAAAAAGAATGCAGGTATCGCTCAGTGAGATCAACATTCAGGGGCCAGGTGAGAAAGCTTTCCCTTTTACCTCTGTGGCCAGAAACATGGTCAGCATTTGGTTAATGAATTCTTGACTGTTAACTCCCTTTTTCTTGGATGAACTAGATAGTGTTTCTTAATCCCAGGGGGTGTCTTGATGAAATGGAGAATGTGGTTCTGTGGTAATAATGCTTTAACAAAGTTATCCTTATCCAGCTGCACTCTTTAATCTAATTTAGAATCTATCAGGGCAAAAAGAGGCCATTCAGCCCATAGTTTGTGTGCTAGCTCTTTGAAGTTAATCCCACCACTCTGCTCTGTCCTCATAGCCTTGCAAATGTTCTCTTTTCAAGTATTGTATCCAATTTGCTTTCCAAAGTTGAATGGTTCCCATCATGCTTTCAGACTTGTTCAGCCTTCATAACTTGTGTCCTGACAAACATTCTCCTCAAATCCTTCTGATTCTTCTGCCTTTGATCTTAAATCAGTGGAACCAGTCTAATCTATTCTGACATTACTGTCATGTTTGCTGTTCCTGAATGCAGGACCATGGCTCATTACCTGCCGATCCTTTATTAGAAAGTATAAGCAGGAATAGGCCTTTAGGCTCTTTGAGCCTGAATATTATTGCCATTGCTTTCCACACTCAGGTTCTGGGGTGAGGAGGCAGACCCTGAGTCTATCTCAGCCAGAATGGGAATCAAAAGTGCCCTGTTGACATTATTATAAGCCACATGCTGGTTGTGGATGTATTTGAGATGGTTCCCCAGTGAAACTCAAAAAGGATGAGATAATCTCAGGAGAAGGAGTAGGCCATTTTGGCCTGAGATGAGGAAGTTTCTTCGGTCAGAGGGTGGTGAATCTTTGGAATTCTCTGCCTCAGCAGCCTGTGGAAGTTCAATCGTTGAGCACGCTCAAGACAGATCTCTGGAGACGGCTGGCATGATGGGATATGGAGATAGTGTGGGAAAGTGGCACCATCAGTCATGTCGCAATTGAATGGTTGATGGGCTGAATGGCCTACTCCTGTTCCTAGTTTTTATGTTCATACATGAATCTCCCTTGCCAGTTCTTTTCTGCACCGTTTACCTGGCTAGTTCTCTTTTCCCATTCTCCTAAATGTGGCATTTTCCCAGTCAAGTGATCTGTACCCTGTTCAATGAGCATATCTGAGATAAGGCTCATAGAGACATCCAATGGATCACTCAGCTGCAGTCGTTTGCAAAGCATATTAAATCAATTAGTTACATTAATGAGTGGACGTTATTGTCACTCATTTCCAGCAGCCAGGATAGGCGCTGTTGCAGTGCATTGGCAGTGTCCTATCTCTGAGACAGGAGGTCTGGGTTCAAGTCCCAACTGTTCAAGGGGTGGGTCATAACATCACTGAGATCTCAAGCAGCAAAAGGACATTGCCTTCTCCTAATTCTGAGAATTGGCGTCCTCAGAAAAGGACAGAACATTGAAGGACAGAAAAATGCCTGTCTCATGCTGCTCCTAGGTGTGGAATCATGGTGGGTAGAGAATTTAAATTATGTGGATACAAAAACTGAAATTTGCTGAAGAAACTCAGCAGGTCTGGCATCATCTGTGGGGAGAGAAACAAAGCTAATGTTTCCAGCCCAGTTACCGTTCATCAGAACTGAAAGCAGTGAGGAAAAATGGTGGTATTTACAAACAGGACACCTCCCCGACACTGGGAAACGGGGACCTCTCCCCCGACACTGGGAAACGGGGACCGCTCCCCCGTCACTGGGAAACGGGACACCATGCCATTTCTAGTTGGCCTGAAGGAGATCACACAGGAAAACGCCTGTAACAAATCCACCTGCTCTCCAAAGTGAGAGATACGTCACTTTGGTACCAGCTGGCAGCACCAATGAGCAGAGTGAGGATGCCAGTGGATCCGGGTCCAATTCCACATGTGGAGCAGGCAGACAGATGCTGTAGCATGTCAGGAAGGCGAGGCCTGTCCAAGGCCCATATCCCCCACCCCATCTACCCCATCGGCTGGTGATCTCCTCTCTGCTCCCAATACACAATTGGCCCAGCCTCGAACATGTACGTAAGTTGGCCATTGTGGGAATGGCTGTCATGTTTTCTGCTTGCTGTTTTTGAAGCTTGTGTATAAATTTCCCTGTTTTTGATTGCACATCCCTCCATGTTCTTCAGTGCAAGTGCAGCTTCCATTCACAAGAAGGGTGCTGTTAGTCGGCCCAAACACTGAAGAGGAGTCTCACTGGTATCTACAGTGACTGTTTGGTTTGGGATGCTGTGTTCCAAGAATAGGCCATTCAGCCCATCAGCTCAACTCTGTCCTTCAAATTAAATCATGTCTGATCTCAACTCTATCTACATCCTTTATATCTGTAACTCTGGATGGTTTTATCAATCCCAGTCTTGAAAGTTCCAATTGTCTTTGTCCCACATTTGAGTACCACGTTGAGTGAATTAGTGTCAACTGGAGTGAAATGACCCGTAACAATTAAAATGCCATCTTTCTGTTTGTCTTTCTGGTTGTGTCTACAGAGAGTGCACAGATGGACGGTACTTTGATGGCAGTTCTTGGTTCTGTGGTGAAGGGATTTTTGATAAAGTATTGGATCTACTTCTGCACAGCCATGTTTATCATTATTAGTTTTCATGGCAGAGTCGTGGTCCATAAAATTCTTTACATCGTGTTGTTTCTGTTCTGTGCGGCACTGTATCAGGTAGGTTAATGTTCGCTGTGTGTATACCAAGCAGATATGGTGCAAACTCACTGTGAATGCCTATGCTCTGGTACAGGGATCAGAACTGGGGACTATTCTCAGATCAGTTATTGTACCTAATGATCTCAAACTCATGCACCACAATATCTGGTGAGAGCACACACAGGGAATGGTTTTGTCCTTTATATAAATGATTTGGATGTGAATATAGGAGGTATGATTAGTAAGTTTGCAGATGACACCAAAACCGGAGGTGTAGTGGACAGTAAAGAAAGTTACCTCAGAGTACAACGGGACCTTGTTCTGATGGGCCATTGAGCCAAGGAGTGGCAGACGGAGTTTAATTCAGACAAATGTGGGTGTTGCACTTTGGTAAGGCAAACATAGAAACATAGAAGATAGGAGCAGGAGGAGGCTATTATGCCCTTCGAGCCTGCTGCACCATTCCTCACGATCATGGCTGATCATCCAACTCAATAGCCTAATCCTATTTTTTCTCCCCATAACCTTTGATCCCATTTGTCCCAAGTGTTATATCTAGTCGCCTCTTGAATACATTCAATGTTTTGGCATCGACTACTTCCTGTGGTAATGAATTCCACATGATCACCTCTCTTTGGGTGAAGAAATGTCTCCTCATCTCCGTCCTAAATCATGTACCCCACTTCCTCGTACTGAGAGCCCTGGTTCTGGACACACCCACCATCAGGAACACCCTCCCTGCATCTACCGTGTCTAGTCCTGTTAGAATTTTATAAGTCTCCATGAGATACCCCTTCATTTGTCTGAACTCCAGTGAAACCAGGGCAGGTCTTACACACTTAATGGTAGGGCCCTGGGGAGTGTTGCTAAATGAACAGACCTTGGAGTGCAGGTTCATAGTTACTTGAAAGTGGAGTTGCAGGTAGACAGGATAGTGAAGAAGGCATTTGGTATGCTTGCCTTTATTGGTCAGTGCATTGAGTATAGGAGTTGGAATGACATGTTGCAGCTGTACAGGGCATTGGTTAGGCCACTATTAGAATACTGCATTCAGTTCCGGTCTACCTGCTATAGGAAGGATGTTGTGAAACTTGAAAGGGTTCAGAAAAGATTTACAAAGATGTTGGCAGGGTTACGGGTGTTTGAGCAATAGGGAGAGACTGAATAGGCTGGGGCTATTTTCCCTGGAGCGTTGGAGGCTGAGGGGTGACCTTACAAAGATTTATAAAATCATGAGGGGCATGGATAGGGTGAATAGCCAAGGTCTTTTTCCCAGGGTGGGGGAGTCCAAAACTGGAGGGCATAGGTTTAAGGTGAGAGGGGAAATATTTAAAAGGGATCTGAGGGGCAACTTTTTCACACAGAAGGTGGTGCGTGTATGGAACAAGCTGCCAGAGGAAGTGGTGGATGCTGGTACAATTACAACATTTAAATGGCATTTGGATGGGTATATGAATAGGAAGAGGTTAGAGGGATATGGGACAAATGCTGGCAAAGTGGACTATGTCAATTTAGGGTACCTGATTGGCCTGGACGAGTTGGACCGAAGGGTCTGTTTCCATGCTGTATAACTCTATGACTCTTCTCCTTCCAAATGACTGTAATTAATGGTAATGGATGCAGGGATCACTGCTAGCACAGTACTGTACATAGTGATAGCATTACTAGCAATACAATGAGTAACACACAGGATCAGGAAAGAGTTACTGTGTTGTAATGTGAAGAAATGGATTTACATCAGTCGAGTCTTTGGAACTTCCTTCTTCAAAGGGTAAAGGATGCTGAGCCTTCAAATAATTTTAAGGCAGAGTTAGATTCTTTATTAACAAGGGATGAACCTTATCAGGGATATGCAGGAATGTAGAGTTGAGGTTAAAATCAGAACAGCCATGATCTTATCAAACGGTGGTGGAGACTCACAAGTTCGAGTGGCCTCCTCTTATTCATAAGGAGATGTACAATCAGTAAGTGAGGGCATGGGGAAAGGGTTAGCAAATCACAGATTGATTGGCAGGAGTAGAGAAGGAAAGTTACTGAGCCAGTGTGAGGAGCTGCATTGCTATCAGTTGAGGTACAGTCAGTAACAAGTGGATCAGGCTGGAGAAATTACTGAAGCTGCGCTGGATTCTGAAATCTCTTCCTCCCTTTTCTGTTTACAGGTACATTATGATTGGTGGCGTCAAATCCTGAGGTATTTCTGGATCACTGTTGTGTCATATTCAATGCTGGTGCTAGTCACGATCTACACCTATCAGTTTCAAACTGTTTCTTGGCTCTTTCAGCAGAAAATGGGAATGTCTGAGGACAGGTACAGTGCTAACTCATCACTTCCCCACTTTGCATTTATTCCCCCCTTTCCAATAATCCGGGTTCACTTTAAACTAGTGTGTAGGAAGAGTCTTTCCTGTTCTACTTCATAACTTGCAAACCTTTATAATGTACCTCCTCTCACGGGTAAAGAGTTTGATCTTATTTCATTTTTAATTGCAAAAATATACTTTACTCATAAAAAATCTTTATGTACATAAACAGTTCTGTACAGTCTTTGCCCATGGAGAACAAACACTGGAATTTTGGCATTCCCTGCAATTACAAAAAACCCAAGGCATTTCTTTCTTGTGCATACATTTACATACTTTGAGGTACTGAGAGGGTCCAATAACGGAATGGGCTCCCATTGTACTTTGGCAGAAAGACCTTAAACAGTGGTCTTTCCCCATTCACTTGCTTTACTGCTTGCTACTTTTCCTGTCGCAGGCTGTGTAGCTCAGTTGGTCATGCTCCTGCGTCCTTAATCTAAAAGGTCCTGAGTTCAACTCCTACCAAGACTTGCTAGCTCTGAAAGGAACACGGTTAAAGCTGTTAAATCGGCCTGACAAATCATTCTAACCACTTTGTCATTCTGCAAGACAGCAATTCCATTTTGGAGAAATGTACTTTGACGTAGTGAACTAGCTGGCTTGCCATAGTCATGTGATCTCTAACTCAGCCATAAGTCCTTTCACTCCAGTCTGTGACAGCCATTGAATGCAATGCAGGGAACAGAAGATCAGAAGTGTGAAGCTGACATTGACTGGATTTTCAGAGCTGTAAAATTTTTAAAAGACCAAGGAAGAACTGAAAACTACAGTCTGCATGTTTTGTCATGCTGGGTGAGTCAGAATGGCTGTGAATTTTGAACAGCCTGTTGCTGTGGAAATGAAAGGAGTTACGAGTCAGAATTGTTTTGTTTTCCACTCACAATGGGAAAGCTATGAAATAGCTACCTGATTAAGTAAAATGACTGAGCAAGTAAGAGTAGTGGCCCTGTTATCAGTACTCCTGAATTGCAGACTAGATCTCAGAGGTACAGAAAACCCAGACAAGAAAAATGTTGAAGACATTGAAGATATGCTTTGAACTCTCTTTTTAATATTAAGTATGAACAGTTGGTAGAATCATACAGTACAGAAGAGGCCTTTTGGTCTATCAAGTCTGTACTGCCAAAACTACGCTAAATCTACACAAGTCCCACTTTCCAGCACTAGGCCCATTGGCTTCAATGTTATGACATTTCAATGCTCATCAAAGTACTTCTTACAGGTGGTGAGGTTTCCCATCTTCCCCACCCTCCCAGGCAGTGCATTCCAGATTCCCACCACACTCTGGGTGAAAATTGTTTTCCTCAAAACCTCTCCAAACCTTCTGCCTTTCACTTTAAAATGAAACTCCTCTGTTATTAACCCTTCCACTCGGGGGGTTACTGCTTTTTATCTACCTTGTCCATGCCCCTCAAAATTGTATACACCTCTATCAGATTCCCCTCAGTCAATCAACCTTGTCTGCTCTAAAAAGAAATCCAATCTCTTCGAACTTCTCTTTACAGCTAAAATACTCCATCGCAGGCAACATTCTCATGAACCACCTCTGCATCCCCCCCCCCAGTGCAATCATGTCCTTCCTACAGTGCAGTAACCAGAACTACACAGTACTCCAACTGTGGCCTGACCATAGTCCTACACAACTCCAACATGACCTTCCTGCTCTTATAATCTATGCCTTAATTGATAAAGGAGTGTCCCATACGCTTCTTAACTTACCCATTCACCTGCCCCACCACCTTTAGGATCTGTAGACAACAACAGAAGAGGTCAGGAGGAGGAGACTACTGATTAGTTTGTGACCACACTGATGTATCTAAATGAATCCTGAGAGTTTAAACAACTGAAAGATGTTCTCATCCAAGATAGGATTGTCTTTGGCATAAGAGATTCTGTCATAAGAGCACATTTACTGAGAGATAAGAAACGTAACAACACAAGCAGAAGCTGTCAGTCATCAGTTGGAGAGTATTAATGGAAGAACAGGTGAAGATTTGCATTAGGCTCAGATATTCCAGGCTGAGTGAGAAAACATCTTTGGAAAGTGGAAGGGCCAACAGAAAGATGAAGGCTGGAGGGCAGGTTGTAAATATTGCAGAGGACCCATGCAAAAAAAAACATAAAAACCAAAAGAACTATGGATGCTGGGAATCAGAAACAAAAGCATAAAATGCAAGAAAGGCTCAACAGGTCTGGCAGCATCTGTGGAGAGAAATTAAAGTTAACATTTTGGGTTTAGTGACCCTTCCTCGGAACTGAAACTTCCTGAAAAGGAATTGTCCACTGGAGGGAAAGCTGTGCTCCAACTGCAAAATGCTGAATCACTTTGTACACAAGTGATTATCTAGAAAAAAAGCAAAACAAACATATAAGGAAGCTTCTGATGACTTGCTCTACACCATATAACAGATTGGCATTATCTGGTCTAAAGGTGATAAATGGTTTATAGCTGTTAGAATGATGACTGCACAATGACAGCATCAAGTGAATGGGAAATATCAGAGAGACCCCTGTGCTTCATGTCATGTAGTGAACTTCACTTTTGTGCAAGGTGGTGACCGAAAAACAAACCTTTGAATGTTGGGTTAACATTAAGTGATAAAAAGATACTTACCCCAAGAGAACAATTAAAGTTTAGAGCCCAATGCAATGAGAAGAGCTAAGATCTGGAGTTCCTGACAGTGGGCCTTAAGCAAATTCCACTCATCTCACCTGAAACAAGTCTGAAGTTTGGACTGATAACCAACACTCCCTCTAAGCAGCATAAACGTTCTAAAGTTCCATGTGTGGTAATTGACATCAGCATGTTAATCTCAGCATTGACTACTGATTTTGAAAGTTGCTGCTGTGTGTGGACAATGAAGACCTGCACACTCCGAAAGGAAGTTAAAGGGAATGCTGCTGGTTACCCTATACGTACCAGGAAAGATTTGCAGCATTTCACAGGCCACAAAGCCATTAACTGCTGAACAGATCCGAAACGATTATGAAGATGTTTTTATAGGATTGAATCTCTTCCCGGTGAATATCCATTTGAAGCAGATAAGCGTGTGAGACCAACACTGTACCTACCAAGGACAGAGTTCCAGTTATCGTCCCAGACCAGTCTGAAAGACAAGATTGAGGAGCTGGGGAAAGAAGGGACTAATCCAGGAGTGACAGCTCCTGGAGACTGGATTAGCAACAGGGAGCAGTGAAATAACCTGGAAAGCTGAAAGTATGCATCAGTCCAAATGATCCAAAAAATGCCAATCACTGAAGGAGTTTTGCCACAACTTGGCAAGCAAAGTTTTTTACAATCCTTGATGCAAAGAATAGTTCCTGCAAGTAAAGCTTGATGGAAGTTCTGTCACTACATTCTGGATTACATTTGGGAGATACACATAATTGTGTATGCTGTTTGGCATTTCCAGAAGAGTATCAGGTAGATGTAACAAAACACACAGTGATCTTCTGGTAACAGAAGCTATTGTGGGTGATCTGCAGGAGTCATACAGCATGGAAACAGACCCTTTGGTCCAATATGTCCATGCCAACCAGGTATCCCAAACTTAAGTAGTTCAATTTGCCTGCATTTAGTCCATATTCCTCCAAACCTGTCCAGAAGTCTTCTAAATATTGTAATTGTACCTGCCTATACCAAATCTTCTGGCAGCTCATTCCATACACGCACCACTGTCTGTGTGAAAAAGTTGCCCCTTGGGTCCCTTTTAAATCTTTCCCATCTCACCTCAAACCTATGTCCTGTACTTTTGTCTCCCCTACTCTTGGAAAAAGACCTTAGCTATTCACCTTAACCATGCCCCTCATGATTTTATAAACCTCTATAAGGTCACCCCCTCAGCCTCCAATGCTCCAGGGTAAAAAGAACCAGCCTATTCAGCCTCTCCCTGTAGCTCAAACCTACCTATGGATGTGGAGACACAGTGGAAGAAGCCATCACAGATCACAATCAGAATCTACTGCAACAGAGCTCATCGGATGATCCTGAAGCTGAACAAAACAAAAAGTTGAAGTGCTTGATGTCTAGTACGTGGATCTTGTACTGACAGTGAAAGACCTTTTCCTATACCTCGACAAGGTGAGTGCTGTAGCAAAGATGCAGTAACCAGCCTGTGTGAAAGCAGTGCAACAATTCATCAGGTTTGTGAACTAGTTAACAAAGTTCTTGTCGAAATTGTCACCAGAACATGAATCTCTACACAACTCACTGCTCACAACATGCAGTATTATTGGGCCCACAATGAGAAGCAGCTTTTACTGGAATCAAACACCCAGTACTGAGAGTGCCAGTGCTGAGGTACTGCAGGGTGACTTCCTCACTAAAAAAGTGAAGACAGCGAGACAGACTTGGAGAAACCCTTATGAAACAAGGAAGACAACCAGGTGGATGGGCATCCAGGGTATTGACACAAACTGAATGGCTCAATACTCGGATTGAGAAAGAGGATGTGGTGTTGACTTTGCTCATGAAATTTCTAATCAATACCAGTTTGGAAGAGACCATGTTACACTGGATGTCCAGCCCCAAGCCACTTCTAAAGATCTTCCTCAAACCACTTATACCTGCTCCAAAGTGTCTGCAAATTATGTTACTTCATTTCTAGAGATATCATGGGAAGCAGATGTACATTCCTGTCGTGCTGTCAAGAGCTGTACTCCCAAGGAACAAAGTAGAGGATGCTATAACTAAGCATGGAATCTCCCAGCTTGCCACTGAAGCAACAGCTCAACATACTCTGGAGGTCAGCAACCCAGTCGAGACATTGAATCTGAAACACAAGCACCTAACTCAAATCAAGCAACTTACCAGGTGCTGCAGGAAACAATGATAAGAGGACGGGCCAAAACTGCCAAGGACATGTATGTTATTAAAAGAGAGTGCTGGATAGGCAGTGGTGTAGCAACAGCCCAAGATGGCACCTTGTACCAAGCAATTAGAGTTATTATCCTAAGGAGATGAGAAACAGACGCTGAGGCATGTCCATGCTAGTTGGCTGTTGTAGTCATGTAATCTCGACATCTACAAATGCTTTCATTCCAGTCTGAGGCAGCCATTAAATACATTGCATGAAACAAAATTAATACACCAATCCTGTGCTTGAGTACACTGTCCATATCCAAACTCTCAATGAGTCCAGTGGTTACTGATCTACATTGTCTCCCAGTCTCGCCTGGGCTCCGGTTTCAAATCTCATCCATTTTTCACCCTTTCATTGTTCCAGTGCCTCAGGACATTGTTTAGCACCAACAAAATGGTTCAAACTGGAAGCACAGCTTTCAGGCCTGAGATATTTATGTAACCAGCACCTACTCAAGGTGCAGTCTCACCAGCAAGGATTGCACGGTGGCTCAGTGGTTAGTACTGCTGCTAGCTAGTTCATAACACCAGGAACTCTGGTTCGATTCCACCCTCGGGTAACTGTCTGTGAGAAGTTTGCACATTCTCCCCGTGTCTGCGTGGGTTTCCTCCGGGTGCGTGGGTTTCCTCCCACCATCCAAAGATGTGCGGGTTAGGTGGATTGACCATGCTAAATTGCCCATACCGTTCAGGAATGTGTAGATTAGGTGGGTTATAGGGGGATGGGTCTGGGTGGGATGCTCTGAGGGTCGGTGTGGACTTGTTGGGCCAAAGGGCCTGTTTCCACACTGTAAGGATTCTATGATCCTATGAACTCTGGGTGTGCTAGAGTTACATGTTTGGGATGTCATCTGGCTGATAATCCAGTGGATTGAATCCACCATTCACTGAGGAATCACTCAATTTACATCACATTTATTTAGTAATTTGGGTTTGACAACAAGAGAGTGATCCACTCGCGCAGATTACTACCCAGGAGGTTGAAGACCAGATTTACCCTGTCAGTTGCGGAATGGCCAAGATCTGGATGTTTAATGGACAGAGAAGTTGTTTCTTTTATTTAATTAGGCCTTTCGTTGCTTCAGCATGTTACAAAGGATCTTCAAACCAACGAGCTGGGTGAAGAGAGACTTACAATCCTCTTTTTCTCAGTTTGAAGGACCTGGGCTTGGAGCAGTATGACACTGCTGAGCTGTTTGCTAATATGTTACTTCCTGCCACCTTCCTCCTGGCCTGTATTCTCCAGCTACATTACTTCCATGATCATTTCCTCAACCTGACAGACTGGAAACATGTCAATCCCAGGCAGGATAACCTCATCAATAGGTAGGTCTCTTCAAATCGCTTTCCCAATGTTCAAAAGCATTCCTTTTGAAAGCCTTATGTAACAACTTAACTGTTTTTTAAAAAAAAAACTTGTCTTTGTCACTTAGGCATAGCTGGCTTAATTGTCTAATTGCTCCTGAGAAGGTGGTGGTGAGCCTCCTTCTCAAACCACTGCAGTGCATTTGGTGGAGGACAGTGCATTTATTCACATTCAGCAAGGGCCAGACTACATTCTGACTTGTGCTAATGAGTGACAAGTAACTGCCGGTAAAGGGGAACCTTGACATTTAATAGTATTACCATCAAATATTCACTTTGATAGTATCGAACTTCAGCATTGCTGATAAAAGACACATTTTGTTGAGGCTTTTCATCTTGCACTTGTCAGGACAATTTGCAAGAATACTGACTTCCGTGGGAAAACCAAAATTTACACTGCATAGGCGGAGAGTGCTGATTGTTTGGCAAATGGACTGTGATTGGTAGAGATGTTGCCATGGAAAATGCACCAGTTAATGATTGCAATCAATCAGTTAAGAGAAAACTTGACAAAATGTGCTTTTTCTCAGCAGTATTACCATTGTTAAATTCCCCAGCATCAACATCCCAGTAAGTTACCATTGACCAGAAACATAACTGGACTTGTCATGTCAATACTGCAGCTACAAGAGAAGGTTTGAGGCTGCAAATTGTGCAGCGAGTAACTCCTCTCCTAACTCCCCAAAGTCTGTCCACCATCTACAAGTCAGGAGTGTGATGGCATACTCCCCACTTACCTGGATGAATGCAGCTCCAACAACACACAAGCTCAACACCATCCAGGACAAAGCTGTCTGGCACCCGATCCATCACCTTCAACATTTGGCACCTTCATCACCAACACATACCAACAGCAGAAAGAATCACCCAGAAGATGCAGTGTCTCACCAAGATTCCAACAACAGCACTTTCCAAACTTAATGACCTCTACCACCTCACAGCTCACCACACTTTGTATCATCTGAAAATTTTGCAGTTGTGCCCTGTACACCAGATCAAGATCATTAACATATATGAAGAAAATAATGGTCTTAGTACCAACCCTTGTGGAGCCACATTATGTACCCTACTTATTCTGAAAAATAATCTACCACCACGGTGCTCTGTTTCCTATCATTCAGACACAAGAACATAAAAAAAACAGGAGCAGGAGGAGACCATTCAGCCCATCAAGCCTGCTCCACCATTCCATATAGGAACATGGCTGATCTTAGGCCCCAAAGACTGTCCTATCACAATTCTTCATTTGAAACTGTGATATCTCAATCATATTGATTGTGGAGCGAAGTGATTGTGTTGAACATCCACATCCCAACTCCTGACTGACGATCCTTCTCACAGACCTTCACTTTTGTTCTTTTCCCCATCCTCCTTCATTTCGCCTCCTTAAAACCTGTGATATTTCTAACTTCTCTCTGTTCCGAGTAAAGAGAATGACCTTGCAACACAAATGCCCTTTCCCACTCCAAAGACGTGCCCGGGCCTGCCGATAATTTTTCAGCAACTTTTATTACAGATTTGTTAAAAAGCAATTCATGCTTCACTAAGTTGCTTGCGATTTTTGATGAGTTAGCAGAAAGAGTTGATGAAGGCAATGTGGTTGATGTGTGGACTTGCAGGTTTGGATAAAATGCTGTAATATCAGCTTGTGAGCAAAGCTAAAATCCATGTGATGGTAGCAGTACAGATACAAAGTTGACTGGAAGACTGTGTACAATTTTGGTATTTGTGTTTAAAGAATGTTTGCATTAGAAGCAGTAACGGGAGGTTCACTGGATTGCTCTCTGGGATGGGATATCCTATGGTGTGAGGCTGTGTAAATTGGGCCTATATTTTTTGTAGTTTGGAAGAATGAGAGGTGAGACACACAAGATACTGAAGGAGCTGGGCAGGATAGACGTTCAGAAATTGTTACCTCTAGTTGGAAAATCTAAAACACCGGGACACATTCAGCAGAAGAAGATAAATAGATTTTTGGGCAGGGATTGACAGATCTTTGCTTTATCTGGAATCAAAGGATATGGGGAGTGAGTAGGAAAGAGCAGCTAAAGCCTAAGATCAGCCATGTTCCTATATGGAATGGTGGAGCAGGCTTGATGGGCTGAATGGTCTCCTCCTGGTTCTGATTTTTTTTATGTTCTTGTGTCTGAATGATAGGAAACAGAGTACCGTGGTAGTACATTATTTTTCGGAATGAGTAGGGTACATAATGTGGTTCCACAGGGGTTGGTACTAAGACCATTATTTTGTTTGATATATGTTAATGATCTTGATCTGGTGTACAGGGCACAATTGCAAAATTTATAGATGATACAAAGTGTGGTGAGCTGTGAGGTGGTAGAGGTCATTAAGTTTGGAAAGTGCTGTTATAGGAATCTTGGTGAGACACTGCATCGTCTGGATGATTCTTTCTGCTGTTGATATGTGTTGGTGATGAAGGTGCCAAATGTTGAAGGTGGTGAATTGGGAGCCAGACAGCTTTGTCCCGGGGAACGAATATGTCTATTACTTATGGATTTATCTGTAACCTATAATCATATTTCTCCTTATTTACTGCTGACTTGCTGTCTTTACTGTCTTATTACGGTGGTCACAAAGTGGTTACCAACAGCTGAATGTGCCAGTCAGTTGCTCTGTTTTTCACATTTGAGTGTTTTCCATGCATTTGTACACACCACCTTATTTTGCTAAGCCAGTGCAGAGATATATGTGGTAAAGGAACATCTGTAATTATGGATGACCTTTAAACTGCACATAGATTGGGGAAACCAAATTAGTCACGAAACTGTAGAGGATGAATTCTAGAGTCTGTATGGGATGACTTTCTGGGCCAATATGTTAGCAGCAATCTAGAGAACAGGTCATTTTTGACTGGGTCTTTTGAGAAATAAGAAAGGAATAATTGTAAGTTGTAAGAGACCCATTGGGAAGGCACCCCCTCCCCCTCTATGAAAGCAATTGGTAAGTTATAAAGAGGCAACGCATTCTAAGACTTTGTAAAGGAAACTAAGTTTGGACGTAGGATGGCGGCCAGATAAAGGGGAGGAATTAATGACCAAAGTGGAGAAAAGCCAGAGGAAAAGATTTACAAGGATGTTGCCAAGGTTAGAAGGTTTGAGCTACAGGGAGAGTCTGAATAGGCTAGGGCTATTTTCCCTGGAGCGTAGGAGACTGAGGGATGACCTTATAGAGGTTTATAAAATCATGAGGGCCATGGATAAGGTGAATACCTTAAAGTCTTTTCCCCAGGGTAGGGGAGTCCAAAACTAAAGGGCATAGGTTTAAGATGAGAGGAGAAAGATTTAAAAGGGACCTAAGGGGAAACTTCTTCACACAGAAGGTGGCACATGTATGGAATGAGCTGCCAGAGGAAGTGGTGGAGGCTGCTGCAATTACAACATTTAAAAAGCATCTAGATGAGTACATTAATAGGATGGGTTTAGAGGGATGTTGGGCCAAATGCTGGCAAATAGGACTAGATTAATTTAGGATATCTGGTCGGCATGGACGAGTTGGAGCAAAGTGTCTGTTTCCGTATGTACATTGCTATGATTCTGGAAGGGAAGGCGGCTGATCATGTTAAAGACCAGCTGCCTCAATGAACCACTCGTGTTTATCTGGATTCCACCCCTTTCCTGTCCCTGCAAAGCTGGGAAGTTGGAGGGTGGGCCTTGCAATTTGCACTACGAGAAAGAAGCTCCAAATTTTGCAGAAAATCTTGGCCCGAGGCCAGTCTCGCTCCGAAGAGTTGAGCAGAGGACTACAACTCCCACTGTACTGAGGAAGGTGCTGATTTTAAATAAATGTAAAACCAAGGCCCCCTGTATTCTACCTCAGATAGGCATCCCACTGCACTTCTCAATCAGTTATGATGGTACTCACAGATAACTGTAAAGTTCAATCATCACCTCACCATTAAAGGGGGAGCTTCTGTTTGTCTACAAATAAGGTACCTGAAAAAGTAATGGACAGATACGAACCAAACTTTGTAGTGGTAGGGTATGGCCAAGGAACAGCTGATTAGTTATTGGCACAGATATGCATCTGGATTCAGAAATGGAAATTTTTCAAGGATCTGTGAACATTGGGAGATTGAGTGAATTGATGTTTTTGAACGTTGATGGTTTTAGATTGTCTCAGCTGCTGTGATGAAATCTCTCACAGCTGTCAAAATGCAAGCGGCATGGTATGTAACAATGAGAAACTCTGTACCTGGAGCTGTGGAGATCAATTGTATCTCTTGATTAACTCCCTTCAACTTGAGCCAGGGGGGTCTTGATCCAAGGACACACAAGTTTGGATTTGTTGAATCAACCTCCTCGCCAAGGGAAGAAAACTAGTCATGAATGTTAACCTCTTCCCCATTGTCTACATTTCAATTCATTTTGTATAAACTAGATAAATCCTGAAAAGAAAAGATATCTAATTCTTATTTATACAAGAGAATGAAAAGTTTGAACTTTGTTACAAATTTAAAATCTTAAAATAAGGTCTATCAAACATTAAAGTAAGATTACATTACAAATCACAGGAATCTGAAATTATTCAAGTCATGCAGAGATACTTGCAAACATTTTGGGGATTGTTTATTTAGACCACCCCTAATTATTATACCATATTTGGTTAAAGGTCCACTTATAAAATGTGGGTGTCCATTCAGTTTCAAGGAAATTTCATTTTGAATATATTCATGTTAAAAATAAATTAAAATTAGGTAACAGTCATGTGTTTTGCAGTTGAGCAGCTTTGGTTAATTAAGGTGCTTATGTCCACCAAAATATCAAGACATTGGCCTGGTGTTATTCTTACTGGGGGTTTTCTTATTATGATATGTTTTATCTGTGTGTATTCTTTATCAGCAACTCTAAGGTTTTGGAGTAGACCTGTAGCTCGGGTTGTGGGTGCTGAGGTTGGTTGGCTCACCGAGCTGGTTTGTTGTTTCACAGACGTTTCGTTACCATGCCTGGTAACATCCTCAGTGCAGCCTCCGATGAAGCGTCGGTGTGTTTTCCCGCCTGGTTTTTAAACTCTGGGGTTTAAATTCCTAGAAGCATGGCACTCCACGAAGCATGCTATTAATAAACACATTGAATTCAACCCCATATACATTCCACTACGAAAGAAAACCGGAAGTGAGGCAATCCATCTCAACGGACCCCAGGGTTTAAAAACCAGGCAGGAAAACACACCGACGCTTCATCGGAGGCTGCGCTGAGGATGTTACCAAGCATGGTAATGAAACGTCTGCAAAACAACAAATCAGCTTGGCGAGCCAACCAACCTTTATCAGCAACTTTACGTCATTGTGGAGGAAGTTAATCATGCTACATTTGCAAGCTAGTTTTATTCCCTGTTAAAAATATATGCTGCTGTAAGTTTTAATGAAAAGTGACCTGTTACCTAATATTGTTGTATCAATTGCAAATATTTTGAATCTTGTTCCTTCACATTCTGACCAGGTTATTGCATGTAGTCTGGCCCAAAGCCTCCTTAGTGATAGGGAAAATCTTAATAAAATGATTTCTTTTTTCAGATTTGTCATAGCAGAGCATCAGCAACACTCTTGGAAAAGTCTCACACAAGTGCTGTGTATTTGTAATAATATTTAGTTAATCAGGAGATGATGACGATGCCATGGTAATGTCACAGAGCTAATAATCCAGAACCTCAGGCTAATTTTCTAGGCAAACAAAGAATGCTGTAGAAACTCAGCATCTGGGGAGGGAGAGAGAGATTGAGTTAATATAGTCATAGAGGTTTACAGCATGGTCTTTCGGCCCAACTTGCCCATGCCGCCCAGTTTTCACAATTAATCTAGTCCCATTTGCTTGTGTTTGGTCCGTATCTGTCCATACCTACCCCATCTATATACCTGTCTAAATGCTTCTTAAATGACTAATTTGCATTCCCTTCCACTACTACCTCAGGCAGCCTGTTCCAGACACTCACCACCCTCTGTGTGAAAAAGTTGCCCCTCTGGTCCCTTCTGTATCTCTCCCCTCTCACCTTAAACCAATGCCTTCCAGTTTTAAATTCCCCAACCAGCGGAGAAGCTGTTGGCTATCCATCATATCTACGCCCCTCATGATTTGAAAGACCTCTATAAGGTCACCCTCCAGTCTCCTACGCTCCAAGGGAAAAAAGTCCCAGCCTTTCCAGCCTCTTTAGAAGAGACATACTAGACTTGAAGCATTAGCTCTGTTTTATTCTCTGTAGATGCTGCCAGGCCTGCTGAGTTTCTCCAGCATTCTCTGTGTTTGTTTCAGGTTTCTATCATGCATTTTTATGCTAATGTTCTAGGTACATGGTTTGATTCCCACCATGGTGAAATCTGAATTTAATAAAATAAAGTCTGGAATTAAAAGCTAGCCTAATGGTGTCCAGGTAACCACTGCCATTTGCCATAAAAACCCATCGGATGTCCTTTAGGGAAAGAAAATCTGTCGTCTTTGCCCAGTCTGGTCTACATTAGACTCCAGAACACTGGAAATGTGGTTGTGTCTTAACTGCCCTTTGGCCAGTTAAGGATGCGCACTAAATACTGGCCTAGTCAAAGATGCCCACCTTTCATGAACAAATAAAAAGCATGGCAGAGATATGTGCTTTACAGAGTGCCCTCTTCACTTGTTTTGTTACGTAATGTGCAGGTTTTTTTAACATCAGAAGCAATGTAATGAATTGAATGTGAGTGTACCAATTGATAGGTGGCCAGTGTAGGATTAGTGAAAGAAGGTGGTCTTGATGAGAAACTGAGACTCCTTTAGAAAGTTCCAGTCCATGTTCAAACACAGCAGGCCAAGCAGCATCAGAGGAGCAGGAAAGCTTGGATTCTCCAGCATCTGCAATTCCTACTCTCTCCAGTTCATGTTACTCAGTTTGACCATGTGCTACTTAAACAGAATGAGAAGTGGACTTAGGGGTAGGTCCAGGACCTGGAAAAGGAATGGTCTCTTTTTGACTATCTTGGAACTCGTTGCAAAACACACACAAGCTGATTTGTTTTGACAGATTGAATAACAAACGCAGCCTTTACACCTTCAAGAAACCCGGCTTTGAACCAAAGGAGCCAAGCTTGGAGCAGGAGAAGGGAGCAGATATGAAAGGTAACATTCAACTTACTGTCATTGACAAACATGACTTGGACTTTAAAGTGAAACTTACACACATTTGTGGCCACAGTTCCCTGGTTCAATGGAGGAAAGCAGGTAATGGAGGGTTGCTAAAACGTATCAATGGAAAAATGAGACTGAGTGGAGAACAGCCCCCTCTGTGATTTGAATTTTGCTGACATAATATATTTATATACATCAGTGTGCCTATTTATACATAGCTCCTTTAATCTGAATAAATTAATAGATGATTGTAAGTAATAAGTCCAAGTGTTTTTTAAGAGAGATGCTTTGTGAAAGGAAGGAGAGAATGCTTTACCTCATAGTCAGCATAATGGGGGTTTTGTTTGTTAAATGATTCTACAGTATTCTAGATATATTTTAACAAAAGCCTTTGCCTACATATTAATACATCTACAGCCATTGATCCAGCTCACATTGTCTCCTACCCATGAAATCACTCTCCAGCTCACTCTCTCTTAGTCATGTGATATTGCATCATGATCTCATAGGCTCATGCTGTTAAACTATTGCTCCAAATCATTGCCCATATCTTTGTTCCCATTATTTTATAATATTCAGCACACATCTCCCCCAGAGTCTCAAAAGTAACAGTGCGTGGTGGTTTGACAACTTTCCCCGGTCTAATTTTGGATTTGTTTCTGAGGTTGCTGGTCTGGTACACTGTCCCTTCACCCTGTTTGAGAGCATCTTCTTTTGGGTCTGTCCAGGGGTTTTAATGGTTTCTCTGTATTCTTCACAACCAAAGTAGTGCAGCCATGTTTGTTCTGGCTTGCTTTTCAAAGATGTTAAAGCTCATCAATTTCTTCTTATAAAACCTCATGGTGTTTCCACCAAATAAGATCTTGGCTATTCTGAATTGTCAAAAACAATTATTTCTGTGTGCCTTTTTCTCAAATTTATATTCCCTCTCCTGGGTGAAGTATTGAAAAATCTCTTGTTTGATGACAATGATTGAAGTTTTTGATTTGTTTCTGTCTTTTTTTTTCACTCCTTCTTGTTGTCTCACTCTAACGTGGTCTTCCATAGTAACTGGTGGTTTTCATTTCTTGGACAGCTGTGTTTTCAGTATTCTCCTCACCAGCAATTCTGCTGACAGTAATCCATGGTGATGATCCGTGTTGATCTATAACTTGATACAGGCAAATTAATATCATGATTCTTCAGGAGTGTTTTATGATTCTGACTCCTTGTTCAGCTTCCATCATTCGATTGTGAATAATGAGATGAAACCTTTATTGTGAAAGGATCCATATTCCTTGGTAAATTCTATAAACTACTCATTTGCAATCTGCCATGCATTATCAGATATGATTGTGCCAGGAGGACTGAGTGAAATAGATTCATCTCAATAATTTTATCACTGTGTCTGCAGTAAGATTGTACAAATGATTTTTCAATCCATTTGAGTTATCGTCAATAATAAGGGTATATCTTTTCCTTTTAAACTCAAACAAGTTCATTCCTAGCTGCTCCTGATGTCTTTATGAAATATTGATTTCATTCCTGACTGTTCATTGTTCAATTTCTGCAGTTTGCGATTATCTCTTCAATTGATCAAGTAACTTCAGGCCGCCAAACTGAATGTTGGACTCTTGCTCTGTATCTTGTTATTCCTACCTGAACCGGACACAGTCTTTGAAGAATACCATTTCTTCCAGTATTACCAATCTTTCATCAAAGACGGATGAATCATCTGTATTCATAAGGTGTTTCTAATGCTTAGAGTACTGTCTCAATGCTGAGTTACCCAGAATGTTTGCTGGCCATCCTTCCTGACAATATTGTCTAATCTGCAGACTTCACCTCTGATTGAACTACTCTGCTGTAATCTGTTCTCTGGTGCTGATATGTTTCCTGTTCCTTGAAGGTGTAAAGACTTCCACCTCAGCTATCACCTGCAAATCTTGTTTCTCAGATTCTTCAGCTGGTGTTATAGAGAACACATCAGCTGTTGTTTGACATTTCCTTTGGATATACTCAGTGGTGGAGTCATATCTCGTCAAACGCAATATAATGCATTGACTATGAGGTGGTTTGCAATCTCTTTTTGTATTGAGCATAGAAACCAAACGTTTGTGCTCTGATTTCAATCTTAAATTTCATCCCCGTGACATAATCTGAAAACTTCTCACTCGGCTCACATTACTACAAGGGCCTCTTTTTCAATTGGGCTTAACCTTTCTCAGTTTTTGTTCGAGACGTTGAGGCATAATGTACTGGTCTTCTTTAACTATCTGCCTGGACCTGTATCAATAGCACTGTACTTAATCCTGTATCCATTGCTAACAATATTGGTAATTATTGGTAACTTTCGTTGTGCTAGTACCTCTGAAGAAAGTAATAAATTCATAACTTTTTGAAATTATTTCTTTCACCAACATTCCAGCAAATTGTGGCTTGTCTCAACAGCTGCCTAGGTATACCATTGACTGATGACAAGTTAGGAATGAGTCTCCCAACTTGATTGACCATTCCTGAAAACCTTTTGCAAATCTTCTGTATTCTTGGGTTGAGGAAGTTCCCAGATCGACCTTGTTTCCTAGGGATCAACGTTTATCCCTGTGGCTTGCACAATGCGGTTTAAGAATATTTGGTGTTAACAGCTAGGCCTGCTTTCTGTTATGTTTGTCCTTTGTTGTATTGTGTATGCAGATGTTATCCATGTGGCATATTATTCCTTCCCTTGGAAAATATTGTACGTGGCCCTCTGGAATATTTCAGGAGGCCGAAGCCACTTTAGATGGTAGTCAATTGAAACTGTATTGACCAACAGGCATTATGAAAGTAGTTAACAATTTCTAATTATGGTCCAAGGAGACTTCCCAGAATCTGTTATTTGTATGTATTTTACTGAACAGTGTGCTGTTTGCAGACTTTGATAACTGACATCAGATAAATTTGCTTCTGTATAGCCATGATAGATAATGTCAGATCTAGATTTTGCTATTTCCATTTGATTTAGGAACTGTGACAATCTGTGAACACTATTTAGTGAGAATGCGATTAATGAAATTAGCCTGTGTTACCTCATTTCAATTTGTGTCAGCAGTTTATCTGTTAGTGGATGCGGTACTTTTCTTGGAGATACAAGATAAATATATTTTGCATCCAGCTGCAATGTTATGTGGAACTCATTGTTCAGCTTACCCAAGCTTGAAAATAATTTAGTAAACTCTTCTCTAAATGCTAGCTTTCATAGCACTCTACTTCCCCGGTGAGCTGAATCTTATTTTTTTTGTGTAAGTCCAAGTTGCATTCAGCTTTTTTTGAGGGATTTCCTCACTGTAACTCCCCAAACTCACCTCATTAATTAGTTGCTCTGCCCGCAAGGAGTCTCTCACATCCAGTTTCTGCCCATCTTACTATTCCAAAGCACCTGGACTGGTATTGAAGGCTGCACTTGACTTGTTGTGCAGGGACAGCCCCTGAGCGGAGACCATCTCTCTTGACTTGACTGAGAACTGTTGACAGCAAGAACAATGTTTCCTTCCTCTGTGTCTGGGCTAAACCTTTGGGCAAGACAGAAATAATCTGAACCTGATATCTCTGAATGAAGGGGCAAAGTGACAAAAGGTGAGGTACAGGTGGAGTGAGGATTCAAATGGGCTCAGACTGAGTGTGTGCTGTGACAGTGAGCCTGGCCCAGCCCATGAGTTGTGTGTATATCCTTGAGCGCACAGTGTCCTTGCTGCAGCATTATAATACCAGTTGTCAGAGCAGCATTGAAGTGCAGAAACATCCCATAAGATGTGCCATGAGGATTCTAAGAGGCTGGCACATGTTAGATGCCAATACCTGTGGATATTGTGCGTGTGTGTGTTTTTTTTGCTGGTTTGCTGGTGCCTCACAGTGCACCTACTGAGATGTTGGTACCCAGTGTCCATAGAGTCCTTTGAGGCAAGCCGCAAGCTGAATTCACCAGGTACCTGTTCTGGTTTCCAGGTCAAGTTTTCCTGACATTGAGCTTGTTTTGCATGTTTGGTAAGATAGGAAACTGAATGTTAATGTGGCAATTTGGGCTGTTAGTCCCCCTTAATTGGTAACTTGATGCTGCCTAGTAAGAATCTCGCTACACTGCTTGTGAAGAAAAAAGATGCTCCCAATGTTGAGATAAGCCTCGCCTGACTTCTCAACTGATTCTGCTACAAATCCTGTCTGGCCTACCTCATGCATGCCAAAATAAGATTCCACACTTTAATGATCAACTATAATCTCAAGCACATTGACATGCTTGAATTTCCAAAGTAAACTCCAAATTAGGTAAGTCACCAACACAAATAGGCACTAGGCATCATCCAAGGTGGGGGAGATGTGAATGATGATGGGTGAGTGATCCTTCTTGATTCTTTACAATATAAAGTGGTTCAGCTCTCTCCTTGTAATTACATTTTGATATTTACCACAATGCGTCCAATTGTTTTCTCAATTTTTCTGTCTTGGTGTCGCAGTTTGATTGAAGAAGGTTTTAACCTGATCTGTTTTGACTATTTTACCTTGTAAGACAATATACTAACACCAACTTGGTGTCTAGTTTAACCTCCGTAGAATGTCCCTCTGCATCAAGATTTACTGACCGATATGTGCTGTCTAGGTGTCTCTTTGGATGTGGTGTTGACTCTCCTACTTCTTTGATCTGATGGCATATTAAATTCAGTTGTTGTTTACTTTTGTTACTTTCAAGTATAGAATGACAGGATTTCTTAAATTGATTTTCAAAAGCATTCAACAAGGTTCCTCACAAAACATTAAGCCATGGGATAAAAAGCCTGTAGTGTTGGAGGTAGTATATTGCATGGATAGAGAGTTGTCTAAGGGGCAGGAAAGAGTGAGAGTGAGTGGGGACAGGGAGTTCTTTTTTCAGGTTGGTGACCTGTGACCACTGGGGTTCCACAGAGATCAGTGCTGGGACTGCGGCTCTTTATATAGTAATGACTTTGAGGAAGGAAGTGAATGTACAATAGCCAAATTTGCAGACGACACAAAAATAGGTGGAAAGGCAAGTTGTGAGATGGATATAAACAGTTTGCAGTGAGATATTGACAGGTTAAATAAGTGGGGGAAAAAATTGGCAAATGGAGTATAATGTGGCAAAATATGAAGTTGTTAATTTTGGAAGGGCGAACAAAAGAGCAGAATCTTACTTACATGGAGAAAAAAACTGCAGAAAACTGCAACACAAAGGGACTTAAAAAGACTTGTGAATGAAACACAGAAAGCTAGTACACAGAGGCAGCAGGCAATCAGGAAGGCTAACCCCTTATTTCAAGGGGGTTAGAATATAAGAGTAGGGAAGTCTTACTGCAACTGTATGAGGTGCTGGTGAGACCACATCTGGAGTACTGTGAGCAGTTCTAGTCACCTTATTTAAAAGAAGTTGTTATTTCATTGGAGGCAGTTCAGAGAAGGTTCACTGAGATGATCCCAGTTTGGAGGGATTGTCTTAAGAACAAAGACTAAATAGGTTGGGATTCTACTCACTGGAGTGTGGAAGAATGAGGTGTGATCTCATTAGAGATGAGGGATTCTTAAGGGGCTTGACAGGTAAATTCTAAGAGGATGTTTTCTCTCGTGGGAGAATCTAGGACCAGAGGGCATAATTTAAGAAAAATGGGGCACCAATTTAAGATAGAGGTGAGGAGGAATTTCTTCTCTCAGATAGTTGAGAATCTTTGGAACTGCTTGCCACAAAGAGCTGTGGGGGCAAAGTGCTTGCATATATTTAAGGCTGAGATAGGTTCTTGATCAGCCAGGGAATCAAGGGTTATGGAGAAGGGGCAGGAAAGCGGATGTGAGGAATGTTGGATCAGCCATGATCCTATTGAAAAGTGGAGCAGGTTCAAGGAGTCAAATTGCCTATACCTGTTACTGTTTCTTCTGGTCTCATGGACCATGTTTGTCAAAATAATGTTCCTGCTGTATCTGAAGCATTTGAAACTGACGGTTGCTGTACTAATCATACTTCTGGTGAGTTTTTGCTTTGTTGCATTTTCTGGTTTTGGGCCCACATGTTGCACCAACTCACATAGCTTCTTCCTTGGAGACTCAGTCTCACATTGCACTGTTCCACAGGTTAGCTTCTGAACCATGGGCTTCCTCATAAACTGGACTGTAAGATAATCTAACAGCTCCTCACCTATCACTGCTATAATAATATGGTCACATATTCATCCATACAGTCATGCAACATGGAAACAGATCCTTTGGGCCAACTAGTCCATGCCAAGTATGTTCCCAAACCAAACTAGTCCCACTTGCCTGCGTTTGGCCCATATCCCTCCAAACCATTCCTATGTACTTATCCAAATGTCTTTTAAGTGTTATAACTGTACCTTAGTCCACCACTTCCTCTGTTAGTTCATTCCACGTACGAACCACTGCCTGTGTAAAAAGACTGCCCCTCATGTCCTTTTTCAATCTTTCTCCTCTCACCTTAAAAATATACCCCCTAGTTTTGAACTCCTCCACCCTAGGGAAAAGTCCCTTGATATTCACCTTGACTATGCCCCTCATGATTTTATAAACCTCTATAACCCCTCACCTTCCTACGTTCCAGTGAAAAAGGTTCCAACCTATCTTCATAATTCAGACCCTCCATTCCTAGCAACATCCTGGTAAATCTTTTCTGAACTCTTCCAATTTAGTAATAATCTTCCTATAGCAAGACAACCAGAACTATACAAATACACCAGAAGAGGCCTCATCAACGTCGCGTACAACCTCAACATGACGTCCCAACTTCTATACTCAAAGGTCTGAGTAATGAAGGCAAGCATGCTAAATGCCTTCTTAACCACTCTGTGTACATGTGAGACAAATTTCAAAAAATTATTTACCTGAACCCCCAGGACTGTCTGTTCTACAACACTACCCAGGGCCCTACCATTAATTGTTGAATTCCTGCCCTTGTTTGTTTCGCCAAAATGCAATACCTTGCTTTTATATAAATTAAACTCCTTCTGCCACTCCTCAGGCCATTGACTGAATTGATCAAGATCTGTTTGTAATCTTAGATAACAGTCTTCACTGTCCACTATACTACCAATTTCTGTCTACAAATTTAGTAACCATGCCTCCATATATTCTCACCCAAATCGTTCCTTAATTCATCATATGTACAATTACCAGCCAAACTGTAAAAGTGATTGATGAGGGAATCGATGGACCCTCCTGTTCTCTGCTTCTGTTTGTTAAGTCTAGCCCATTCGATGATTATTGTTTCGTGGAAAGTGAAATAAATACCTGGGCTTTCAGATTTGAAGTCTCACCCTTTGTTCTGAAGAACACATCAGCTACAGTATAGCCTAGTGCAGATACTGACCTAATTCTAGTTGTGTTCTCAGAGCATCGAGCTTGGGAGCAGGGGGAGGGTATCCCTATTCAGAGCATCGAGCTGGGACAGGGGGAGTGTGTCCCAAGTCAGAGCATTGAGCTGGGAGCAGGGGGAGGAGGTCCTGAATCAGAGCATTGAGCTGGGTACAGGATGAGGGGGCCCTGAGTCAAAGCATCGAGCTGGGATAAGGTGAGGGTGTCCCTAATCAGGTCATTGAGCTGGGAGCAGGATGAAGGTGTCCTGAATCAGAACATTGAACTGGAACCAGGATGAGAGTGTCCCAAATCAGAGCATTGAGCTGGGAGCAGGATGAGGGTGTCCCAAATCAGAGCATTGAGTTGGGAGCAGGGGAGAGTGTCCTGAATCAGGGCATTGAACTGGCAGCTGTAACCCTGAGGATCTCAAATATCCAGCTAACTGTTTTCTTCAGCTGGTACTACGGACCTTCTACTGTCAGCAACAGCTGTGGGAGTGGTTAGCGGAGCTTGAAGTCTTTTGCCAGCTGGATGTTCTGATTTGGGATGAAATGGATGAGCATACCATGCTTGTGATGAGGAACAGGGAACATAGATACAAGAGAAGGCCTTCTGCTGTAATTGTGTTCCCTATTCCTCATCACGATCCAGTGTCTGACTTGCAGGGTTTTCTAAGAGTCAGGTGCAAAGCAGTCAAACAGTAATAATCCTGTCTAAACTCTCAAGAATTGCTGGTTGGGTGAGGTAACTGCGAGGTCCCTGTACAACTGGGTCCAACATTGGATTGGTGTCTTCAGGAGAGGAGTGGGAAAGGAGGAACACGCTGCCGTTAACCTCAGAAATTCTGAGAATTTTGTCCTGTTGCATTTTCCTGTTTCAGGATATCCAAGTCCGTGGAATATGGTGATTGACAGATTGACTACCCTAATTTTACGGTTCATGGAAATACTGCATAAAGTCCAAGTCGGGTTGTGGAGACTCCTGGAACTGCACATCATCAAGATGGTCTCTTCCTGTATTATCTGGATCACGTTAAAGGAGGTGAGAGCCTTAACACAGACCAGTGCTAGTCATAGGAGGGAGAAATAGATGGTGTTGAAATGAGATATATCTGAAAGAGGTCTAGAGTAAAGGTATTGTCATTGGACTCGTAATCCAGAAGCACAGGCTAATGATCTGGGGACACCAAGCTGGGAGAAGGCTGTTTGTTTGACTGGAGGACATTGTCCAGTGGCATTCCACAGGGATCAGTGCTGGGTCCGTTTTTTTGTGATATATATAAATGACGTAGAATAAAATCTTGAATGGGGTGGGGCAAATGATGAGTAAGTTTGCAGATGACAAAGATTAGCCATGCAGTTGAGAGTAAGGAAGAAGGTCTTAGGTTACAGGAGGATATAAACAGACTGGTCAGATTAGTGGCAAATAGAATTTAACCCTGATACATGTGAGGTGAAGCACTTTGGAAGCAGTAATAAAACAAGGGAGTACTCAATGGATGGCAGGACAGTAGGAAGCTCAAAGGAACACAGAGATTGTGGGGTGTTTACCCAGAGATCCCTGAATTTGGCAGGACAGATTAATAAGGCAGTTAAGGCATGGGGACACTTGCATTTATCGTTCAAGGCATAGATAATAAGAGCCAGGAGGTTATGTTGGAACTGTACAGGACTTTGATTAGACCACAGCTGGAGTACTGTGTGCATTTCTGGTCACCACACTGTAGGAAGGATGTGATTGTGCTGGAGGGGATGCAGAGGAGATTCACCAGGATATTGCCTGGGATAGAGCAACTCAGCTATGAAGAGAAGCTGGATAAGCTCAGAGATAACACCATATGGGGCTGGAGGAACACAGCAGGTCAGGCAGCATCAGAGGAGCAGGAAAGTTGACATTGCTCCTCAGATGCTGCCTGGCCTACTATGTTCCTCCAGCTCCACACTGTGTTATCTCTAACTCCAGCACCTGCAGTTCTTACTATCTCTAGAAAGCTCAGGTTGTTTTCTTTGGAGCAAAGAAAGTTGAGGGGGGACCTGTTAGAGGTGTATTGAATTATGAGATGCATGGACAGAGTGAATAGAAAGCAGCTGTTCCCCTTAGTTTAAGGGTCAATATTACGAGGCAGTGAGACGGGGTGGGGTGGTGGGAGAACATGCCTTTAAGGTGAAAGGAAAGCGGTTTAGAGGAGATTTGAGGATGGTAGGGGTCTGGAATGCACTGCCTGAGAGGGTAGTTGAGGTGGGTAACCTCACAACCTTTAAAAAGTACTTGGATGAGCACTTGAAATGTCATAACATTAAAGCCGATGGGCCTACTACTGGACAGTGGGACTAGTGCAGATTTAATGTAGCTTTGTCAGGACAGACTCGATGAGCCAATGGCCCTCTTCTGTAATGTATGATTCTAAAAGAGTTCAATTTCCATCATAGTGGCTAGACTAAGTTAGTAAAATCTGGGAATTAAAAGTTCTTGTCAATAATAGTGACCATGAAGCTACTGTTATGTTTCTTATTTAAAACCCATTTGGTTCCCCAATGTCCTTTCAGGAAGAAAATCTGGGCCTGCATGTGACTCCAACCCACAGCAATTTAGATGACTCTTAACTATAAAATGGCTGTGCAAGCCTGACATTTGAAGGGTAATAAATGCTGGTCTTGCCAGAGATACCCACATCCCATGACATAACAATAAAACGAGTCAGCAGATTCAACACCAAACATCTCCAACCCAATATAAAGCAGCAACCAACAGAGCTCACAGGACTGTCCACCAATAAATCAGAAAAGATAATGATACAGAGTCAGACTGCGTCTAATAGGGGGACATTTAAATGTTAAGAGCCACAAGGCCAGTACCATTCAGGGGGTCTGTGTTATGGGGAACAACTTGAGGAACTTGGAAACAAAAACAGAAGTTGCTGGAAAAGCCCAGTAGTCTGGCAGCATCTGTGAAGAGAAATCAGAGTTAACGTTTTGGGCCTGATGACTCTGGTTCTGAGGAAGGGTCATCAGACCCGAAACATTAACTCTGATTTCTTTTCACAGATGCTGCCAGACCTGCTGAACCTTTCCAGCGACTTCTGTTTTTGTTTCTGATTTACAGCACCTTTACACAGTTCTTTCAGTTTTTATTGGGAAACTTTGAACTTTCAGGCTTTAGGGAGACTGAGGAAATTTCACTGATGCACACAAGAAGGTAGACCAAAAATGAATTTGGAATATTTAATTAAATATTAGGAGTATGTTGAAGACACCACTACCTAGTAATGGGTAATTTTGGGCTGAGTATATAGCAGATATGCCTTGACAAAGACAGTAATCAAGGTATGAAAACAACCTGCAGAATGAGGTGTCAAGGCAAAAACACTCTTAAATTGTTTAAGCAACAACTGGATGCAACAACATGGAGATCTCCCTTTGTAGGTGAATCCCAACGAGGAAAGCTGTATTCCTTACCCAGAATAACCTTGTGAAGATCCCAGTGAAGGAGCTGGCTGAAGAGCAGTTGCACTGCAGAAGGATTTCAGGCTAAATTTTCAGTCTTTCCATCCAGGCCAGACAGCAGGATAAAATCTGTCTGGAGTCCAATTCCCACATGAATTTCCCAGCCTCCCACCAGAGAAACCATGACAGTGGTTGCTGTGATTTCCACTGAGGTTACGGCGGGAGATTGAGGAGCACATCTGGGAATTTTCAAATGTCTGCTCTGACAACAGGCAACCAGGGTTTATCTAATTTCTGAGTTTTCATCTCTAACTGGTAGCAATTGGCTGCTCCTGAATCTGAGCCAGTTCAGGAACAGCATATTGTACACTTTGCTCAGCACCAATTTCCACCCATTTCCCTGTAGTAAAAATCTGACACCTGCACTTTATTTCCTGTCAACCTTTTCCATTATAAATTCCAACATCCAAGTTCCTAAAGGAATATCACCCTTATTCTTGCACATTTTGGCCATTTGGCTCCTATTCATGACTGCCAATCCATTCCTCTGAATCACAATCTCTTGACTATTTGATCTGTTGCTACAAAGACCCAATCCCTACCACTCGTACTTTTGCGCACCTTGACCCTAGTTGCATTCCCATTGGTTTTCCTACCTCTTTCCCTTGCAAACATGGAGTCAATGCACACTTCTGATGATTGCCAAATGAAACTATAATATGAAACTGCAGAGAGAAACAACAGCAAATATGGAGCCTGTTCTGGTGACCCAACCTTTCAATTACACAGCCCCCACAACCAGAGTGTTCCCAGGGCCTGTTAGCTATCAAGACCTCAGAGGTTCCCCAAAATAGACCAAAATATATCATTGATTGTGAACTGCCTGAAGACTTTTGTCACTGAGTGTGTCTGAATCTTTTGCAGGTCTCATTGATGAACTACCTTTTCCTTATTCTCTGGGTGTTTGCATTACCCTATTCCTCATTCCGTCCACTAGCATCCAGCATTTCGACAGTCTGGGCTTGTGTCATGATTGTCTGTAAAATGATGTACCAGCTCAAGGTTGTTAAGTTATCCACATTTTCTGCAAACTGCACACTGGTAAGCAGTGACATGTGTCACATGTTTTTCTCTCTGTAGAACTGTAGCCAACAACAGTTTTCATTTTTAATACCCCTTTTAATGTTAATAAATTGTCCATAGTGGATGAGGTTGTTGGCTTGCTCACCAGGCTGGCTGTTGATTGTACAGACATTTTGTCACCATGCTAGGTAACACCATCACTGCGGCTTCCAATGAAGCAATGTTGTTCTACTCTGCTTGGTATTTATATGATCTGGTCTGTTATGTTGGGTTGTGTCATTTCCGGTTCTGTTCTGCATGGGTTTGTATATGGGGTTAAGTTCCACATGTTTGTCGATTGCATTACAGGTTGAAAACCAGGCCTCTAGGAATTCCCGTGCGTGTCCGTGGTTGGCTTGAGCTAAAATGGTCATGTCGTCCCAGTTAAATTGATGGCCTTCATTGTCCAAGTGCACTGAGATGAGGGAAAGTTTGTCTTCGCAAGAGGCTTAAATGTCCATAGTGGGATTATCAAGTTAGTGAAAGTGATAGGTTTTGAGCAGGTCATTGTGGATAGGATGGAGTAGTGAGGTGATGGGATTCAGGAACATTGCAACATAAAATTTAGGAGCAGATTTAGGTCCTTCAGGGCTGCACCACTACTCAATATGACCATGACTGATCCAGTTGTGGTCTCAGATTCACTTTCCTACCTGGCCTAAATAACCCTGATCTCCCTTGTCCATCAATAATCTCCCTCAGCCTTGAATAAATTCATTGACCAGCCTGCATTCTTATCTGGGGAAGAGAATGTTACCACATGATTCTATGGCAATGCTGTAACAACATTGTTCATTCCATCCAAATAGCAGAATGAATGTTCATGAGGGGGTTGTATTAATGTGCTGAGAGTAGCTAATCAGACAGCCTACCCATCTGATCAAAATTAATGCAAGAGGACACGTATACATATGAAGTAAATTTAGTAGCTTAATCTGCTTAATATATATTAGAGACATATGCAAACTAATGAGTGAGTCTATTAACTTAAACAACATAATAGACACATATACAAAGCAAGTGAGTCTCACACTGCCTTCTATCTGTCAAGGACTTTGGCAATAGTGGTACTTAGAGCTCTACCTCAGATTCCAGTGCACCGGTTTTGCAAACCCCAGCCAGATGGTGAACAGTCCGATGAGTGGGACAAACTCCCTGACACTGATACTATTCTGATTCTCAGGTCAGGTGCTGAAAATCCATTTCGTACTTTTCCAACCATCAAAACAGGCTGAAAAACAAATCCAGGTGGCCCCATGTAGCTGAAAAACAGGGCAGTTCTCAGAGACAGTTCTGTGTCACGTGATTACCTCCCAATCGAAATACGCTGGTTTTGCATTAGACCTTTTCTTTTCATGTATAGATTTGGCCCTTCGAGGACACACTGACCTTTTGAAAAGCATCCCACCCAACCCACCCCCTATCCTGTCCCTGTAACCCTGCATTTCCCATTGCTAATCCAAATAGCCAGCACATCCCTGGACACTATGGGCAATTTCCCATGGCCATCCACCCTAACCTGCACATTGTTGGACTGTGGGAGGAAACCCACGCAGACACAGGGAGAATGCGCAAGTTCCACACAGTCACCAGAGGGTGGAATCAAACCCGGGTCACTGGCGCTGTGAGGCAGCAGTGCTAACCACGGAGCCACCGTGCCGCCACTTTTCCACTTTATTTCAATTACTGATTGCCATAAGCAATGAACCTTTAATCATTAATCCTTAAAACTCTGGTTTGAAGATGTCATGTTTGAACCCAACACGACAAGGGTGAACTGGTGTTTGGCAGCTCGATCACTGATGTGTGGGGAACTGGGAAAGGTCAGAGGTCAGGTCTTGGCTTAAGTTGAAAAAGGAGTTAATCTAAGGGAATGTTTAGTTTGGAAATTTCAAGGTAGAAGAGAACTTTCTTCTTAAGGTTAGACCTAGTTGGTTCAATGAATATTTGCAAAATGGCATTTGACTAGCTTTAACCGCTGAATTGGCAACATTTGTTATTTTTGATATCACAAGAAGCAGTTACCATCAAATTGGATTGAATTGATTCCTGGATTCAGTCTCTCGTTGCATGTAAAATAAACCAGCTCTGGTATTGAAAATGGCTTTTAGACTACTAGCTTCTAGGTGATGAAAAAAAATGCACAAGGATGGTCAGAATGTTGCAGTATGCTGTATATATGATAAGGATTTCGCTGTTATGGTATATCCACAGGTGGGGGCAGGAGTGGGGCAAAGGAAAGGGGATGATGGGATCCAAATGAAGTCTGTAAAGCTGGGAAGAGAATCTGTTGCTGGACATGTGGCTGTGTTGAAATAGGTAGACGTGTATCCAAGACTTTGCACCTCTCCTTCATATCTCACTGCACTCCACTCTCCTTCACTCCCTCACACCTCATTCTACCTTTCCTCCCTCCGATCTCAGACCACCTCTCGTTTTCTTCCGCCTCCCAAATAACGGACTGATATTTTCTGTTTCTTTGTCCTTCACACTGACTGTTATATTCCACATCATGTTTCAATGTTTGTATTTGACTCTATTCTGCTTTTAGAATGGAAGTCAAGAGTTGCAGTCCACATCTACTCTGTATGCTGGTCCTATTGACCCTACATACTGGTATGGAGCGCTGAGGAAATGTGAAGATGATGTCTTGCCCTGTCTGAAGGTAGATACCATATCAGTTTTAAAAAGCACAGCATATATCTGGGAGAAGAACTCTATCATTGCATATAGTGAATTGGAATCAACATATTCACATGGAAAATATTCAGTCCCCCACTTTTTTTAGACTGCTCTGTGAGGTCACTGATAAGATTTCTAAAGATGATTGCCAAATACAATCTTGGCTTCAGAGTGAATAGTTAAGCATTGGCTTCTCAGCCCCAGTAGACAGTGGGGTGTGAGGAATGTTGATTATGAACCATCGTCCAATTCAGAGAATGATTGTGGAATGGCCAAAAGGGATTATCGGGAAGCAGTTTGGAAGCCCCTTGAATTCTCTTTGTGAAATGAACCTCTACTTGGGAAATTTCTGCCCCAAACCCCCATCACACTCTGTTGACAGAGTGAGATCATAAAATCCATACCCTTAGACGAGAAATAGTGTGTGACTTAACTGGATTGAGAATCAATGCTTGTAGCTATAAAATACTTTTCTTTGAAAGAAATGGAGTTGTTAATAGAGGCAAGGGTTTTTTTTCAGGTTTGCTGCATTGAACTATTCTTTAGAAGAAGCAGACACCCATATCCAGTTTATAAAAGCAACATTTTGTAAAGAGCCTCACTCTTCAAGATGTAACAATGTGTCTTCAACTGAAGAAGCATTTTTAAAGTGTTATAATGTAGACAAAATGGTAGCCAGTGTCCTTACAAGGTATGAAAAATAATAAGACAAAGAAAGACTTGCATTTTTCACAACTGTTAAATGTCACAAAGCACTTTGCAGGCAATAATAATTTTTTAAACTGCGCCTTATAACTGCATTGTAGTGCACCTGCCATGTGTTTGCCCATTTGCTCAACTTGTCTAATTTACCCTGAACCTTCCCTGCATCTCCTCAAAATTCACAGCACCACAAAGTTGACCCCCTACATTTTACATAAAAATGTGGTCTTAATGTCTCAATGTTCCCACAAGTGCATGAATTACATGAACTGTCTTGGTGTACAACCAACCCTTTATCTGGAAGCTTTAGTGAACCACGTTGTGTCTTGTTCTGTTTAGAATCACTTGATCATCTTGAGTTTACTGGTGTTTGAAATGACAGTTTATCGCCATCAACAGTACTATAGACTCCACAATGGGCTCAAGACTCCTTTAACAGGAACGCTACTTGACAATATCACACGGCTCCATTTGGACGATGGGCTGCTGGACTGCATCAAATACTTCACAAACTACTTCTTCTATAAGTTTGGGTTGGAGGTATGGTTGACCTGTGCCAGATTTTCATTCTCTTAATGATTCATTCCTTTTGGTTTGGCAAGTCAGAGCACTTAGATGTACAGATATTGATTATTGACACAGAGCTTAAAAAGGTGATGTAATAACTTTGTCATTGGACTAATGTTCCAGAGAGTGCAATTAGTGGTTCACTAATGCCCTTTAGGGAAAGAAATCTGGCGTCCTTCCCTGATCCAACTTGCATGTGACTCCAGACCCGCGGCATAGTGGTTAACTTTAAACCTCTTAAACAGCCTTGTGAGCCACTCTATTGTGTCAAGCCACTCGGAGTGGTTTACACAGGAGGGCCATCAGCTTCTCGCAGTAAATAGCAATGGGCAATAAGTGTCAGTCTCGCCAGTAATACAACAGTGATCTCCTGTCGACAAGTTGCAGAATATGAAATGAGCGATAGCCAAGTACGTGTTGGAAAGTACAATCAGCCCCCACCCTGTCCCTCAATATCTGTTTACACAATAGGTGAGAGGTCGAGGGGAATTCCCTCAGTGATCCCACCTGCAAATTGGCCAGCATTACAGCTGAGGGTGAGGGAATGTTCCAGCAATAACAGTGACGATGCCTCACTGTCCTGACCAGGATTTCCCTCCTACCCCTGTCTTACAGGGTCTGCTGCTTTCTGCCGACCTCATGAAATTGGAGGTGCAGTGAGCCTTGGTCCAGTGTGGGAGAGGAAAACCACTTTGGTTTAACATCTTGAACAAGATGTTATTTATTCTCTTTCAGCAGTTAGGTACGAGTTACACTGATATGATGAGCATTGTTACAGAAACTGAGGAAGACCTTGAGCCGTTCAAGATCCAAGGACCATCATTATAATGGATGGCACTTAACATACACCTCACCTTTAACCCTTTTAGATATTTACACCATCTTGTCAACTTCATGGAATGGTGAGAAACAGAGTTTAGGAGAGTCTATTGACTATTGGTTCCTTGGTCACTGAATGCTGCTTTGTTCATTTAGTGGAATTCATCCGTGTGATGTGAGCATGTGTGGTGTTTCCAGCTGATAAGTGCATAAAATGAAACAGTCACCACAGCCAAATCTCTGGCTAAACAGCACCATTTGTTGGACAACACCGTTTAATGGGATAGGTGCAGTGGTGTAGGTTAGACAGTGCTTATTGGGAAGATGCAGCCTATGTTACAGGGTGTAGAGGTGCCAGTGTTGGACTGGCATGGACAAGGTCAGGAATCACATGACACCAGGTTATAGTCCAAAAGGTTTATTTGAAAACACCAGCTTTCGTAGCCTTACTCCTCTGTCAGGTGTAACTGAGAGATGTAGTATCAGACATGGAATTTATAAGTAAAAGATCAAAGAGTCACACCATTATTGAGGATGTATTAAACAAACCTAAGATGCTGTTAAATCTTTGATCAGTTAGAAGTTTTTAATTGATTAATATGTATATGTAAATCCCCGAATTCCTTTCAAGTCCCTGTCCTGAGAGAACTAAAGGTTTTATCAGTGTAAAGAAGAGGTGACATTTTAGGTCAGACATTGCATGTTAGGTGTGAGGCCTTGAATAGAGTCTGTTTGTGTTTTGGTTTGGAGTCAGACTGGTTTTAATTCTAAAGTACGAATTTATAAAACGTCACATTGACTGTCTATAAGTTACGTGCTTTTTGAACGAAATAGAATGTATCTGCAAATACAAATTCACCCTATAGATTTATATGTGTGTGTGTTTGTGTGTTTTTGTGTATACGTTGGGGGAGGGGAAAGAGAGAGAGAGAGTGTGTGTGTGTGGGGGCGGGGAGGCAGGGGATGGGGTGGAGGGGGGTGGAAGTGTGTGTGTGTGAGAGAGAGGGTGGGGGGGAGGCAGAGAGATGGCATTTAACAAGATACTGTGGAGTGCACACAAAGCAGCAGTGGCTAAATAGGCTGGAAAACATGGGGCGATCTGTGTGGGTTTGTAGAGAGTGGGACAATGGGAAATGTGGGTGATTTTCTTTTTAGTATGTTCCTAGGAAGCACACATTCATGAGAATAATGAAGCAAGACATTACGGGTCACTGCAAAGCATCATGTCAATATGAAGATTGGTGTGCCAATGGCATCCGAACATTAACTGTTTGTTGTTTATTTCTCAGGTCTGCTTCATAGCAGCCGTACACCTCATCGGGCAGCGCATGGACTTGTACTCTGCGATCCATGCCTTGTGGCTAACGGTTGTTCTCTGCAGACGCCGGAGAAAGGCCGTTGCTGAGATATGGCCCAAATACTGCTGCTTTGTCGCCTGTATCATTCCTTTCCAGTATCTGCTGTGCATTGGGATCCCTCCTTATCTCTGCAAAGGTACATTCTCAAACCACTGGAGTCTTGTCCAACTTGCTGCCAATTAATCAGTCACTTTAACATCACAGTATGGCTTCCCTCCAGCCTCCATGCAGAGTGAGATTGGAAAGACACTGTAAAGGCATTCAGTGGAATTCACCCATGCTGACTCTCCCTGATTAACCGAAAATTTTCCAGCTGATCCCGTTATCCCATCCTTGATTATAAACTCTAACAACTTCCCCACCACAGATGTTAGGCCGTAATTCCATGGTAACTTTGTGGGCTCCCCATGTTATTGAATATGGAAGCCTGATTCCAGAATGCCCCTGAAATGCACTGCACCCTCTTCCCTCGCTAAACTGCAGCTGGACTGGGTAATGTACAACGTACATGAAAACCCATTCATAGTAGGAATCTGTTCTTCCCACTAACATATTAATTCCCTGAGGCCTAAAAAGTTTGCTACCATCCCTTCAGCCTCTCCATTTTGAACGTCAGCTACTGATATCAAGATTCGGACCTGGAGTATTCTATGCTGTCTCAGTGTTTCCACAGTATATGCTGGGAATGACACTTAACTCTTACACTAAGCTGACTCCACTTGTGCCCCTGTGATCTTCCCAGCAAAGTGTAGTTATCATTGGTTCCAGTCTCTCAATAGCTAAAGCTTTGCTTTTATAAACTGATTAAGACTAACATCTCTCCTCTCTGATATCCTTTCCAGATTATCCCTGGAGGTCCACCCTCGGACTGAGCTCCAATCTCATTAAGTGGCTTTATCTGCCAGACTTCATAAAGAGACCCAACCCAATCTTCCTGATGTGTAAGTAATCAATTCACTGTAGTCTGATACAGTCACACAGCAGGTTATTCCTTCATTTTGGCCCAAGAGAGTTTGGTATCTGTCGTTCTGACATGATAAGGAATTCATTTTTTTTTCATTCTTTAATCCCAAACTTAATTTAGAAATGAATTTGATAAGGTTCCAATCTCATCATGACAATTCATATCTTAGCTTCTATTCAAACTTGAATAGGGATTTCAAATCAGATTCTTTTTAGGAATCAGTTTTGAATGTAATTATGCTTTGGTTTTAAGTTGCAGGTGGGATTGAATTCCTATTTGGATTTGGTTTGAAATGAATGGAATTTGAGTTCAGAGTCAGGATGGGGGGGTTCGAGGTCAGGATATGTAGATTGGGGCATGCCTCTTTCTTAACCGTTTATTTAGTTCCTTTTGCAAATCAATATTACAATAATATTTTTGGTTTGATCCCCCACTTCTTCCTCCGTTACATTGATGACTGTATCGGCGCCGCCTCGTGCTCCCACGAGGAGCTCGAACAGTTCATCCACTTCACTAACACTTTCCATCCCAACCATAAGTTCACCTGGACCATCTCCGTTACCTCTCTCTCCTTCCTGGACACCTCTGTCTCCATCTCTGGCAACCACCTGGAAACTGATATCCATTTCAAGCCTACCGACTCCCACAGCTACCTAGACTACACCTCATCTCACCCACCTTCCTGCAAGAATGCCATCCCCTATACCCAATTCCTTTGCCTCCACCGCATCTGCTCCCAAGATGAGGCGTTCCACTCCCAGACATCCCAGATGTCCTCGTTTTTCAAGGACCACAACTTCCCCTCCACAGAGGTTGAAAACGCCCTCGACCACATCTCTCACGTTTCCCGCACCTCATCCCTCACACCCGCTCCCCACAATAACAACAAAGACAGAATCCCCCTCGTCCTTATGTACCACCCCACCAACCTCCAGATCCGACGCATCATTCTCCGCCACCTCTGCCACCTGCAATCTGACCCCACTACCTAAGACATTTTTCTCTCCCCACCCTTATCACCAGCCCTCCAGGATCAGCCTGGAATCACCAGGAATCAAAGCTCAGCCTCCAGGACCCTGTTGTGTGTCACAGCAAAGAATAATCATAGGGACATTTGACTTCTTATGCCGAGTCATTAATGAATGAATAACTGAGGCCCCAACACCGATCCCTGTGCGATCTCACTCGTCACATCCTGCTAATTTGTGTACTTACTCAATATTTGAACTCTCTGTTTCCTGCCACTCAACCAGTTTCCTGCTCATGCCCTTAATTCTGTGGGCTCCCATCTTAATTAACAGCCTCTTATCAAAAGCCTTAAGGAAGTCCATGTAAACAATTGATTTACCTCTGTCTACCAACTTTGTCATCTCCTCAAAAAAAATGAGGTTTGTCAGGCATAACATACCCTTCATGTAGCCGTGCTGACTCTCCCTGATTAACTGAAATTTTTCCAGCTGAACCCGTTACCCCATCCTTGATTATAAACTCCAACAATTTCCCCACCACAGATGTTAGGCTGTAATTCTGGTCTGTACTTCCCTGGTTCGCCTCTGCCACCCTTCTTAAAGAACAGAGCGGCATGAGCAAATTTCCAATCCAGCGATACAACTCCTCACTCCTTACCTGTTTCTGGCCTCCTCCCCCAGCGTGTGTTTGCGAGAAGTGCAGGTAAGCAATTCAATGAGCAGAAATCGGTAAGAGGTTCCGTAGAAAGAGAGAGTGAGGGGATCAAATGTGAGGAAGCAGGCTGAAGGGAGAGGAAAGCATCTGGTAGAGATGGTGAATGAAGTTCAATGTGTTTTAAAAAACAGATGGACATTGCTCAGTTGCAACATGGTTCTTGGTGCATCCACATTAACTGAGCTACAACAAAATCACACTTTCTATAGAATCCCTGCAGTGTGGAAGCAGACCATTAAGCCCATCAAGTCCACACTATCCTTCTGAAGATCATCTCACACATCCCCGTAATCCTGCATGTCCCATGGCTAACCCACCTAACCTGAACATCCCTGGACACTACGGGCAATTTAGCATGGCCAATCCATCAAAACTGCACATCTTTGGCTGTGGGAGGAAACCGGAGTTCCCAAAGGAAACCCGCACAGACACGGAGAATGTTCAAACTCTGCACAGACAGTCACCCGAGGATGGAATCAAACCTGTAAGGCAGCAGGGCTAACCACTGAGCCACCGTGCCAGCCCTTGAAACAGGGAACACTCCTAAGGCCCTGTGCTATGTCCTGCATTCATGACAGGTGCTATATAAATGCATGTTTTCTTAACTTTAAATATTTGACAATGCTCAATCCTGAGTCCCTACCTGTGTAATCATTGCATTGAGAACGATAGACTGACAGCACTATTTCTTTGGAAGGTATATCTTTGAGGTGTTCTCTCTGCTTGACCCTGTTAGATGACTTCATGCTACTGTTAAACATATCAATGCAGCGGCAAGTGTTTGAAGATGAGAACACGGCAGCAATACGGATGAGTGCAGGAGACAATGTTGAAATCAGCCGTTGCCTGGATACCGCTACAGTTTATCAGTATATTCCTGTAGCCAACTTCCTGCACTGCAGGTAAACTATTCCATCACAGTTTCTGAAGCTTCTGTTAGTTATTCAAGTAAGCAAGAGAATCAGAAAGACCAAATGCCAATGATTACCAATGGTTTCCAAATACTGAAAGTGTAAAACTGACATTATCAGGAAAAATTACTTTTATTGAACTGCTAAACTTAGATGTGACATCACACAGGATGGAAAGAGCTACACAATAATGTTGTCAGGGGTCAGATCTTACCTCAGACTGGATACAGTTCAGGGTCAGACCTCATCCCAGATTGGGCACAGTAAAGAGCCAGACTCCACCCAAACTGAGCGCTGTACAAGGTCAGACATCATCTCTGACTGAGCACTGAACATGGTTAGACATGTCTACTGCCCAGATTCAGCAAGGTATGGAAGAATTCTCTGCATTTCCTTTGAAACTGTCCACAGACTGAGGAATAAGCTCTCTCCGAATATCCCATATCTGCATGTTGCGCAGAGAGTAACACTTAATTGGAAGCAGTTCTCGAGTGCCATAGTGAGGGTCTGCCTTGCACTCTGTAATATTAATGGAGGTTATGAGACCATCTCCATCGCTATACAGATTTCCACAGGATGTATAAAACCAACCCAGAACATTAGCTGGGTTTGGATTAGGAAAAGAATGTTAGGAGAAAATATCGGTGGTTTGTTGCATCTGTTTACTTCCAGTGAGTTTTATAACATGGTGGATTTATTTTTCTAGGTCATACTTGGATATGCTGAAAGTAGTTGTGTTCAGCTACTTGTTCTGGTTTGTGCTGTGTCTAATCTTCATCACTGGGACAAGCAGGATCAACATCTTCTGTATGGGTTACCTGGTTGCCTGTTTCTACTTCATGTTCTTTGGAGGACAGCTGCTCCTAAAACCAGTCAAGGTCATCCTCAGGCGCTGGGACTATCTGATAGGCTACACTATCCTGGTGATAGTGATAAAGAATATATTTGCAGTACGTATCTTCACTCTGCCTGATCTTACACACTGGCATAGTCCATCCCTGATCAAGAGACCTTGTTTAGACTCAGGTGGCTACCCAACTTATCTCTCTTGTGAGACACTGGCTAATTTTGAACAGTTAATTCTTGGGATGCCCATTCCTAAATGCCCTCGAGAAGGTGGTGGTGAGCTACTGCCTTGATCCACTGCAGTTCATTTGCTGTAGGTAGACCCACAGTGCTGTGAGAGAGGGAGTTCCAGGACTTTGGCCCAGTGACACTGAAGGAACAGCAATATAAGTCTTCATGATGGCTATTGTGAAATTTGTGAGGATATTTTCCAAAACATTTTCTCACCTTGACCTTTTAGGTGATGTGGGTTATATTTTGAGGTTTGGGGTGGTTTAAACCACATTGTGAGGTAAATATTTATCTTCACTGCATGGACAGAAATTAGTCCAGCAGGTCACATCGTTAGTTTCCAATTGGTCCAGGTTCCAAATTTTCTCCTAGTGATTGCCTTCACCATAGTTTCCTACTCTAGAATTAGAAAGTCAGTGAGCTTTCATTGATTAAATGAATGTGATTCAATGATGTGGTAGATTGTACAAAATCTGGTGTAGGAGTTTGAATGAATAGAGTCTCTGGGTGAAAGTTTGAGGAGATGTATGAGGAAGGAGATAACTGGGTGCAGGAGAAACCAAGGCCAAGGTAATAGGAAGAGCTGAACTTGAGGGAAGGCTTATTTGAAGCATAAGCACCAGTTCGGACTATTTAGGCTGAATAGCCTGTGTCTGGGGTGAATATTATATAATTTAAAAGTATAAGGGGGAAGGCTAATGGGAAACCTTTTAAAAATTAATTCTTTCACAGGATGTGGGAGCTGCTGACTAGGTCACCTGACCCATCCCTAATGTATAGGGACAACTATGGAATCTCCTGCCACCAGTAGGTATTGTAGAGGGATATCAGGAGGAATCAAACAACAATAAAAAGATTTCAGAGGTAACAGGAACTGCAGATGCTGGAGAATCTGAGATAACAAGGTGTAGAGCTGGATGAACACAGCAGGCCAAG